TATTCCCGTTTTTCTTTGTTCTATGATTTTTTTTCTTCTTCTCTTGTATAATTGAGTAGCATCATTTCTGACTTGTTCCAATTAACTTGTAAACCCGTTGCTTTCCCAAATGTCTCCAAATGTTCTTTTATTCTATCTATTTTCTCCACTATATTTTCTATAAATAACAATGTATCGTCGGCAAATAAGCTCACCTTCTGTTTCTCCTTTTTTCCTAATCCCTCTAAGTTTTTATCATTCCTTATATTATTAGCAAAAAGTTCTATTACCATAGCAAATAATATCGGGGACAAAGGGCACCCTTGTCTAGTTCCTCTAGTCACTTGTATTTCATTTGTCACTCCATCATTTATAGTTATTACTGCTGAATTCTTTGAATAAAATTGTTTTAGTACTCCTTTTATTTTATTTCCCATTCCAAATTTATTCAATATTTCCCTTAATGTCTCCCATTCCACACAATCAAACGCTTTAAAAATATCTAATGATAATATCCCTGCCTTTCCCTTCCCTTCTTTGGCCCCATGAATTTTATTTAGTACTCTCCCTGTCAAATTTGACATTTGTCTTCCTTTTATAAACCCACACTGATCTTCTTTTATGTACTTATACATACATTTATTCATTCTATTAGCTAATATCGCGGACAATATCTTTGCATCCTGGTTTATTAATGATATGGGCCTGTATGACCCTGGGTCTGTTAAGTCTTTATCAGGTTTGGGTATTAATATTATTAATGATCTCCTCCATGATTCGGGTATTTTATCTCCCTTCATTATTCCATTGTACAATTCTAATAATTTTGGGGTTAAAACTTCTCTAAAGCTTTTATAATATTCTGTCCCTAGACCATCCAAGCCCGGAGCTTTGCCAACTTTTAATTTCTTAATAACTTCCTCTATTTCTTTTTTCTTAATAGGTTGTTCCAGTAATTCTTTATCTTTCTCTTCCAGCTTACTCTCCCAATTTTCCTCCACATATTTCCTAATTGCCTCTATGGGACTTGCTTTAGTTTGATATAGGTTTTTATAAAATTCCTCAAATACTTTCAATTTATCTTTCATAGCTCTACATAATTTACCTGTTTTATCTTTTATCGTATTTATCGTTCCTTCCATTTTCTTTTTCTGTGTTGATTTAACTAGGATCTTTGAATTCCTATCACTAAACTCAAAATATTCCCTCCTTAAATAAATTAAGTTTTCTTGTACTTCATCTATTTCCATTTTATCCAATTCCTCTTTTTTTGCTCTTAACCTAGCATAAATTCGTGTATCTCTCTTTATTACATATGCTTTTTCAATCTCTTCTATTTCTCTTTCTAAATTCCTTTTCCTTTCTTCTTGCCTTCTCTTTAAATTAATTGTCTTTTCCTGGCAAACTTTGTTGAGAGGTGAAAATGTGCCTGGTTGTTTCCTCTCTGCTGTTTTGCTGTTGTAATTTTAGAGTTTTAATACTGGTAGCCAGATTTTGTTCATTTTCATGGTTTCTTCCTTTCTGTTGAAATTGTCCACATGCTTGTGGATTTCAATGGCTTCTCTGTGTAGTCTGACATGGTGGTTGTGAGAGTGGTCCAGCACTTCTGTGTTCTCAAATAATATGCTGTGTCCAGGTTGGTTCATCAGGTGCTCTGCTATGGCTGATTTCTCTGGTTGGAGTAGTTTGCAGTGCCTTTCATGTTCCTTGATGCGTGTCTGGGCGCTGCGTTTGGTGGTCCCTATGTAGACTTGTCCACAGCTGCATGGTACACGGTAGACTCCTGCAGAGGTGAGAGGATCCCTCTTGTCCTTTGCCACAGCATATTATTTGAGACTGGCTGCTTCCTGCCTGGGGGATCCTTTGTTGGGAGGTGTTAGCTAGCCTTGATTGTTTCATGTCTGGATTTCCCCTGTTTTCTGAGTGTTGCTCTTTATTTGCTGTCCTGATTTTAAAGTTTTTTAAATACTGGTAGCCAGATGGAACGTGGCCATACAGTCATCTCTAAGCTATATCATTATGTACATGCAAGTTTTCCAAAATCCAAAAAAGTGCAAAATACAGAACATTTCTGATTCTGAGTATTTTGGATAAATAGTTGCTATGGTAGCAGAGAACTAAGCCTTGATTGATGTTTTCCTGCAGCAGATAAATTTTTCTTCCTAATCTTATTAAAGGTGTAAGCAACACATATATGAACTTAATCTTGATGTACTGAAGAACTAAGAGAGAAACTTTTGGGTGCTCTCTGCTTTCAGTTGCTTCTTCTTCATCATCACAGAAGGAGGATAGAAAAGAGCTTTCTTTAATATGTTCTCACTTCAGTATGTTATTTTCCATTTACATTACTGATATAATGATGGCAATATTTTTGGTTCTCCTTCAGGCTGATTCCATTTCCTTTACACCATTTTCTCTGCGAGGAGCACATTTTGATGTGGGAATGCTGAAGTAATGTTATTCTCTATTTTGATAAAGCTTTCTTAAGGAAGAAGGCTACTGTTTCAGTTCAATGCAAAAACCAAACTCTTAAATTGGATGCATCACACACATTTTCTGAGATGAGAATCAGTTCAGTTAAGTCACATGTTCTTTGGTAGCGGCCGCCAAGTGAAATTTCCTCTTGCCCTTTTCCATTACTGCTGCAATCTACACAGAGAAGTTTATTTTCAGTTCTAGCGTATCTTTCATCTCCTTGTCAGCCAACTCAGGAACAGAAGCATGAATTGTTCTTTTAAATAGGGAAGATAATATTATTTTGGGAAACATCCTACAGAGATTGGCCATGGGGTTGTTCATGTTTCATCATGCCTATACTAATTTTCTGGCATTATAATTTTTAGGTTATATACAATACTCAGTCCAGCTGTATCATTACCATTCCACCTCAGGTTTTATCCCTCCTCAATTCTGGTTTCTTAACGGGATGTAAAATGCCCGACTTTCTCTTCCTCCCAATTTCCTCCGCCATCCTGTGCTTGCATCCATTACTACAAAATGATTTGCACTTGATAACACTAAGTAGGAAGCAGCCTGCACTCCAGAAAGGAGAGAGCAAAGACTTGTTCTTTCCAGTAGATGAAGAGCTATACTTATACAACTATACTTATTTCAGATCTCTGTAATGAAAAGCTTATGTTTTGTAATCACATTTTTTTTTAGAATATGGAAAAGGAATAAATACATCTTTTTAAAAGAAGAGGAGGAGGGACTTGGCTTGGCTTGGGGATGTTCCCTTTGAATGACATCTCCAGAACTGTGTGCAAAGTGCTCTCTCTCTCAGGGATACACACAACTATTTCCTTGAATAGATGTTAGATTTCCTCCTCCACCTCTAACTTCCTTAAAATAGGATCCATATTCCAGAGACACATCCTTCTCTTTTCCTTTCATCTCTGCTTGTTATTTGTTTTGAAGATTTCCATGATTCTTGTATTTTAAAGAATTACTTTTGCTGGTTTTCTTCCCTCCACCCCATCTCACCTCAACCATTGTCAATTATTGATGGGCTGTACCCACCAATAATTATTGTAACAATAAGTTCTGAGAGGTTTTCTGACTAATACAGCCAGTAAATCTCTTTATAGTAATGTTCAATTTTCATTAACAATGAAATCACAGACTTATCTACTATAACCATAAGCTTTCCCCAATTATTTCAATGATGGTGCACCCCTGCCAGAGTTCGCCTTGCCATCAACACCAACCAGGAATCAAAAAGCACTAGTAATACAGTTTATTGGAAAAGTACATATAGAAAGGAAAAATCACCAAAAGAAATAAGAAAAGCAAAATCCAACAGGCATTAGGAAAAAGTAGTCAATAATTAAAAGCCCAACCAAACTGGTTAGGAGTCAAAGGCAATATTCCAAATAATCCAAAAGGCAATATTCCAAATAATCCAAAAGGTACAGGAAAAACCAGAATCATAACATGAGCATAAGTCCAGGAAAACAAGAATCAAAACATGAGCATGAATCCAAAACAAGGCTATAAGAACTTCTTAAAACATGAATCAAAACTTTCAAGATTTTAGACTAAAAACATTAACTGAAACAGGACTTGAGATCCTTACTGTTTAGCAGCGTTGCCTGATCAGAATTCTCATCGAGGCACTTCTCTGATTTAAGGACCACAAAACATGAAGTCATTTCTATGACCATGGCATCCTTGCCTGTGATACTTTTTCTGCTCTTCCTTATCACTGAGCTTTTGTGATTTTCCAAGTTTGCTGGATTCCTCCCTAAGATCAAGCCTGATATTCCTGTCAAACACAGGTGTTCTCTCGGGCTAGCTTTCTTGCTCATCCATATCTTTATCTCGGGTTGCTATGCTACTAGTAGGCAAAAGGTCTCTACCAGACACTGCATCTCCCTGTCTTCTGGACTCCCAAACAATTTCACTTTCAAGCCTATCCTCTAAGACAGAATCTTGCTCTAAAATTCTCTCATTTCCCTCATTGAAAGAGCCATCTACAGGGTGAGGCAGCATAACTTCCTTTTTTAAAATGCGTGCCATTCAGTCGGTTGGAGATGTAGTGGAGCGCTAGTGGTCTCGTTCGAGAGGTGGGAGTATAAAGTTTTGTCCTGACACAGTTCAGTCGCCATCATGCATTTGAACAGTGTAGAGTGTGCTTTTGCCATTGAGGCCTACTTTTTGAGCAGATTTGGAGTGGCCGGCCCGCTCTCCAGATTTGGCCCCTTGTGATTTTTTTCTATGGGGCTTTTTGAAATCCCGTGTTTATGTGAACCGTCCAAGGACCCTACAAGATTTGACAACTACCATCCAGGAAGAAATTGCCAACATAACACCTGCTATGCTGGCAAGAGTCATGACAAACACCAGAAATCGGTTTACTCAGTGGATCGAGTATGGGAAATGGGGATGTCATCTACCTAATCTGATCTTCAAAACTATGTAAAACAAAACTTTAGGTATGCACCTACATCATAAAAAAAATTCTGATTCATACAATGGGTTTTATTAAGTTTTGAAAAAAGGAAGTAATGCTGCCTCACCCTGTACTACTCTCCCAGGCTCTGAAATACCAAATCCATAATTTTCATCTGGCTGAACCACAACAAATAAAACGTTTTCCTTAGGTAGATGTGTATAGGATTATAATCCAAGGGAGACATTCTAAAAGACCATTGAAATACATTGATTTCTTTATGACAGTCATATTTTTCCTAACACCTTTCTTAACTAATTTCTCCTGGAGCTAAAAACACTGTACTTTATTTTTAGTCATTCCCATCAACCCAACCCATCATTTTCTGTCTAATAACATCCCTCTGAAGTCAGTTAGAATGGAAAGGTAAGACTAGTGTTTAACCCGATTCAAATGTGCGTTGGGCAGAGAGATGCAGGTGAACACAGATTTCATGTAATGCAAAAGTTGTAATGTTAAGTAGGATTGAGACCTTTTGATTTTACATTATGTAATATATAATATTATAGTGATTAGTAATCATGTGCACAATTGTATGTGCATGGATGGAGCCATGGCACTTAAAGTGATCTGAAAGTGCTGCAATTGTAGGAGCCTAACTGTGCAATCCCCAAGTTGTTCTGAAATAATTAAGACCTTGTTCAGATTGGATTGATTTGATCTGATTTGTAGCTAATCCAAATTAGTGTCATTTAGTTAGTTTCGGCTGAATTTGTCACACAGTGCTAATGTATGCTGTTCATCTGGGTTTTATCTTATAGAAGTAAAAAAATCCAAGTCCCAAAAAATGAAGGGCTGCCTAATTTAGTTGGTACTTTCTCTTGCTGAACGAGTGGAGCCTGAGGTATAGCCCCAAACTTCTGCTCCTTTGGTGCAGACATATAGCCTGAGCGGCCTTGATAACATAATTATTTAGACTTGCAGAGTGGTACTAACAATATGCTGCTGGATGAATATAAATTTAAAAGACAAATGTGCAAATTCCAGATTTATGGAGTTTTATGCAAGACTTCATAAATCACAATTCATAAATTCATAAATCCCTGGTTTATTTTATTTTATTTGGAAAGGAAGAAAGAAAAGACAGGGGAGAATTTAGTCCAGGGGTGAACAATATCCAGGGTAGGGGGACCCCACTGTTCAACCTCTAGTCCACCGAAGCTGCACTCTACTCAATGCAGGTTTTTCTGTTGCATTCCTGAATGTGCCCACAGACCACATTTTGCATGTACTTTCTCTATTCCAATGTCCTTTTTCCCAGAATAGGCAATCCCATATGCCCCAATTTCACAGGGACAGTCCCAAATAATTCTCTGTTGTGCCACTTTTTCAGCTGTTTTTAAAATGCCCCAATTTCGATCTCTTTCTCTCACTTTCCCCCTTTGGCCCTCACTTTACTTCAATTGTTGAAAAAGTCCTTGCATACAGTTGGAGGGGGTAAGGAGAGGAAGGTGTGAAATTTTCTTCCTGGAAAATGCAGACAAAAGCAAAATTACTTCCCTAGATCTTGACAATAGGAGCATAGTGTCTAGATCTAGGGAAGTAATGCTACCCCTCTATTCCGCTTTGGTTAGACCACACCTGGAATATTGTGTCAAATTCTGGGCACCACAATTCAAGAGAGATATTGACAAGCTGGAATGTGTCCAGAGGAGGGCGACTAAAATGATCAAGGGTCTGGAGAACAAGCCCTATGAGGAGCGGCTTAAGGAGCTGGGCATGTTTAGCCTGAAGAAGAGAAGGCTGAGAGGAGATATGATAGCCATATATAAATATGTGAGAGGAAGCCACAGGGAGGAGGGAGCAAGCTTGTTTTCTGCTTCCTTGGAGACTAGGACGCGGAACAATGGCTTCAAACTACAAGAGAGGAGATTCCATCTGAACATGAGGAAGAACTTCCTGACTGTGAGAGCCGTTCAGCAGTGGAACTCTCTGCCCCGGAGTGTGGTGGAGGCTCCTTCTTTGGAAGCTTTTAAACAGAGGCTGGATGGCCATCTGTCAGGGGTGATTTGAATGCATTATTCCTGCTTCTTGGCAGGGGGTTGGACTGGATGGCCCATGAGGTCTCTTCCAACTCTTTGATTCTATGATTCTATGCTATGGCGTTTCCTAGCTTGACTCTGTTCTTCCTCATTATTAACTTTGGCCATCTTCATCGCACTTTAATGTTGCTTGGCTAGAAGTCAGTTTTCATCTGCTGGGAGTATGCAGTCCTGAGAAAGATATAACTAAAATAGACCTCTTTCATTTTTACTCCTCAGCAATTGGCACTTGGGGAGACATGTTGTCTCTGATTCTGAATGCAGCATCTTCCCTCTAGTACATACATGGGCAAACTTCGGCCCTCCAGGTTTTTTGGACTTCAACTCCCACAATTTCTAACAGCCTCAGGCCCCTTCCTTTTCCCCCTCAGCTGCTTAAACTGAGGGGGAAGGGAGAAAGGGCCTGAGGGAGTTGTGGGAGTTGAAGTCCAAAACACCTGGAGTGCTGAAGTTTTAACCATGCCTGATCTAGTAGCCATCAAGAGCCTTGTCCTCCATGAATACGATTAGCTTTTTGCCCTGCATTTCTAGACATTCCAGTGATGTTTTCTTATGGATTCTGAGAGTTGTGATCCAAAATGTGACTTTCTTAAGTTCTCTGGCCCATTTCTGAAGCCATATAGTCTAGTAGATACTCTACCACATATAATTTAACTATGTTATATGAAATATTAGTGTGTCCTCTTTGCAATCATGTTGATTCTACCTCATATTTTTCATGAAATTTTATAACTTAACAAGACATTTTGGTCAATAAAAATCATGAATAGGTATAGAAATCTTTCATTCAGGGTGAACAACTGCACAGGGCAGAAGCCAATTTTCCATCACCCTTCTGAAGCTGAATCCTCTGAGTACACCAAAAAATATTATTTTCCCTCTTTTTCACCTCCAGTTGGTGAATCTATTGCTGTTTTGAAGAGGAGACAAAGTGCAAAGAATGTACTTCTTAGAGAAGAGACAGATATGAGGGGGTGAGGGTCTGTGGTGGTTTTTTGTATGTTTCTGTGTAGAGTGGGAGTTTGGGTATGATTTGCCCAAAAGTATTGCCAAAAATATATTTTAAAAAATTGAGGAGGTGAAGACTGATGGAGAAACTGCAGAAGAGATCTTGGACTGAATGTGACCTACAGATTGCCCTTTCTCCTATCTGTCTTGATTGCTAAGGTATTTAAAAACTAGAGCAATGTGGTTATCTAAAAGCAAATTGAAATTTCTAAGCTACATCAGGCTCAGATTTTAAGTTCATTCTGGAGACCTGCTATCTGTTTTTAAAGTACATCGTCAGAAAGTTTATATACAAAGCTTGAGTTCATTACTTTTACCAGGTTTCATGTATACACAATTTTGTCAGCTCTAAATGTCTAACTTTCTAAATGTCTGTAGGCTAAAACTACCGACCTCTATTTAGTCCTACAGCTCATCAAGTCTCAGAAGTTCCCGAACAAGTTGGTGATCGTACTGGAGACAGAAAAAGAGAAAACGCAGAGGAAAGAATATGTGTTTGCTGACTCTAAGGTAAAACCCTCGGTTTGGGTGCTTCCACACACATTACAGTTCAGTTACCAATACAGATTTATTTATTATTTATTATGTATACTGCCCTTCTCAACTATTTATTATTTATTTGTGGTATTTGTATACCACCCTTCTCAACCCTGAAGGGGACTCAGGGCAGTTCACAGTGTTGGCAACAATTCAATGCCATTGATAAAAACAGTATATAACATCAAAATTGACCCTCCTCTCATAAAACATTAAACATTATTAAACAAATAACATCACATATCACACAAAGACATGATCATTGTCCGTAAACAGTCCTGGGTCACTGCACTTTCAACTTTAACTTTAAATATTCCTATGATGGGCCAAACGCTTGGTTCCAAAGCCAGGTCTTTAGCTGTCTCCTAAAGGTCAGGAGGGAGAGGGCCAACCTGATCTCACTTGGGAGAGAGTTCTACAACTGTGGGGCCACCACCGAGAAGGCCCTGTCCTTCGTACCCATCAGCCACATCTGTGGGGCGAGTGGGGCCAAGAGCAGGACCTCCCTGGAAGATCATAATCTACAACTGCTTCAGCTGAAGTATCACAGCATGGTTCAGCTGGAGCTATTACAAGAAATCAAATATCGCAGCACGGTTCAGCTGGACCTGTTTACAAGAAATATGATGTAAGGAAATTAGTAATTCAAGCCTCCCCCTATACATACATCCCTGAAGTAAATTAGAGAAATAGAAAGGCTATTTAAGGAACAAACTGGAATCAGGTTGCCTCTAATTTCCCAGCCAAATTCAATAGTAAGTTTGCACAGTTGAATCGCAAAAATTCTTTATTTTAAACAGAGGAGTCCTGAAATGCTTTAATTGTTATTTGTCTCTGTATACTAGATGCAGTATACTGTACTAGATTACAAGTTCATTTTACAACCTTGCCATCTCTGCTCCTCAAAATACTGCCGATCAGATTTGGGGGGGGAGTAATAAAAATTTTAAGATTATGGTTGTCTACCAGTGATGTCATGTGGATGCTCTGTAAAATAAGAAAACAACATAACAGAAAAAATGAATACTAAATAATGGCAGTTCCATGGAAAAGTGCTACTGTTGAAACATCTTATGTAATCTGTACTAATACCAAGTGTGCAACTGTCGGTGAAGTATCTCACTATATCCCAGTAATAATCCCCTAACCATCTGATTTGGTTACACCCAAATTCTGTGAAAGGTAGTCTTAAAATATATACCATATGTTGACTAAAGAAGGTGAATATATTTTTGCAAAAGGGGAAATCAAACTGAGTGATTTTATGGGATTAGTGAGGGGGAAAATTCACACAAAGTGTGTTATACTTGTCACTCCCCTGAGACAGGCAAGAGAGCCGTGTGATGTCAAAGTGATAGTATATTTTGGCACTTCTAGCCTTCCTTGTCGGTTTTTCTTTCCTGACTTGTCCAGAGCAAAGCTCTTCTTTTTGGCTTGTGTTATGAACTAAAAAAAATACTGCTCTTACTTCTTCACTTTTCTTGTGTTCTAATTGAACAAAGTGGAGCCCCTGGTGGCGCAATGGGTTAAACCCTTGTGCTGGCAGGACTGCTGACCGAAAAGTCAGTGGTTTGAGTCCAGGGAGTGGCATGAACTCCCCTCTGTCAGCTCCAGCTTCTCATACGGGGACATGAGAGAAGCCTCCCGCAGGATGGTAAAACATCTAGGCGTCCCCTGAGCAACGTCCTTGCAGATGGCCAATTCTCTCACACCAGAAGCGACTTGCAGTTTCTCAAGTCACTCCTGACACGAAAAAAATTGAAGAAAGTTATTTTTATGGTACTCATCTGTTCAAACAAAATTGGAATATATTTTGGAAACGTCTCATCAGCACTGCAACAAAGAGCATTGTAGTTTACATGAACATCCTCATACTTGGGGGAAGGTAGTTGATCTCCCCTCCCCCCCATTAATATACCTGCTTTTTGTTTAATTGCAGCTGCTAAGCAAAGTCTAATCTGGTTAGTATCTGTATGGGAGACTAGCTTGGAATACCAGAACTGGTTAATGCCTGAATGGGAGATCACTGGGTGGAACTGGGAAGCCATGCTGCCTGAAGCCCTTGAGAGGCCTGCTTGTTGGTTTTGACAGTAATGAATGATATGGACCAGTAGCTCCCTATGTTCTGGAAAAAAAAGAATCACAATTTTAGTAAACATCAAAATATGTTGCAAACACAGAGATCACTGGTGAAGGCCATTTTGAAAACTCCCAAGGACATGGTTTTATCTACCTACGCCAGCAAAAACTTTCTATACTACATCTAGTCCTGTCATATGATAACAATTTTCTCCAGCTTCCACGTAATGATTGAAGTGACTCCTTGAAGAGCAGCTTTATCTTGTTGATTCATTTCTTTCTCTTTTGCTCTGCAATTTTCAGAAGAGAGAAGGATTTTGCCAACTTCTTCAGCAAATGAAGAATAAACATTCCGAACAACCAGAGCCTGACATGATCACTATCTTCATTGGCACCTGGAACATGGGTATAAATCTCAGTTATATATTCAAATTGCTTTTTTATATATTCAGATTTTTCTTATTCAGAAAGTGGGAAATGGGGGAGCAAACATACATTTGGGTCTGACATTCATGCACAGACTATTTTGAGACTATTGCTTCTATAATCTCTATGTCAATGAAACTGTAGTCCAAGAAGTAACTCCTACAAGTTCTGCTCCAATATAAAGGTAACTCTATAATGGATTTTGCTCCTAATTTTATTACCAGATGGGTGCAGTGGGAGATTCTGGGTATTGTAGTAAAAAGGAATAGGTATTCTCATCTCTGCTTCAAGATCTGGTGATTGAGTGAATAGTTAGGTGCTTTGTATGCAGAAGGACTCATTTAAAGTCATTGTTAGCTCCATCTAAACTGGGAAAGTCACTATGTTACTCTGGAAAGCAACTATCAACCATTGTAATGCAATAGTAATGAGTTGTAATGAGTTAGAGGGGCCAATATTCTGACAGCTTCCTATGTGGTGTTAAGTTTTGGATTTCCCAATCCAGGTGATGCTCCTCCGCCAAAGACAATCAGCTCCTGGTTTCTTTCCAAGGGTCAAGGGAAGACCCGGGATGACACTGCAGATTACATTCCCCATGACATCTATGTGATTGGTACACAGGAAGACTCCCTGGGGGAGAGAGAATGGCAAGAGATACTAAGACATTCCTTACAAACCATTACCAGTATCAGCTTCAAGGTGGTAAGGATTTATTTTCCTGCTACAACTTAATACCTTATTCTTGAGTGAGCAACTGCAGGGGATCTCAGGGTCACTTTTATCCTCTGGGATCTTTTGGAGGCTGCATGAGCTACCAAAAAAAGAAGTAAAAACACAAATTGCCTATAATGTCAATCTTTGGTTCTCCAAAATTGCTATTTTATAAGTTTGAACATATAGAGAGCAGTGATGAGGGCCCAAAATTTGTCCCATTGATTTCATTCATGTTTGGCACAAAAGGGAAAGACCGCTCCTGAAACAAAAATGCAATTGATACGAAAGGCAGGTGGGCCTGCTTTTTGGATGGATTGCGTGGGGCTTGGAAGGTCCTGCAGCTGAGCACTGAATAAGAAGCGCTCCTCACTTGGCGCTCAGCTGCAGGCAGTCCGACACTTTGGTCCTACGCACCCAGACTTGTCAGGACCTGCATCTGAGTGCTGAGTAAGGAATGCTCCTTACTTGGCACTCGGCTGCAGGCCCTGCCAGGCCCAGATGCATGGGCCCAGGAGTTTTGGTCCCCCCACTCCCAAATAATGAAATCAAAAACAAAATATATGACCTCCCAATTTCAGGAGGCTCAGACAAAAATGGATCAGGGCCACCACTGAAAGCCGGGACACGAAACAGATCAAGATAAGTCCTGAATGCACATGACTAATAGAGAGCGCCTCATGATCTACTTAAAGCAGTTGTTCCTAACCTTTGGTCCTCCAGATGTTTTGGACTTCAGCTCCTCCCACAATTCCTAACAGCTGGTAAGCTGGGTGGGATTTCTGGGCATTAGTCCAAAACACCTGGGGGATCAAAGGTTAGAAACCATTAACTTAAAGGGTAAATTGTTGCACTCGAAAGCTACCAAAAGTGGGTATCCACCCTTTTTTTTTCACCTGAAGTGTTGAGGGCCTCAAAAACACTATGGGGAGAGCAGGTGTGACCCTAGGGCCACACTTTGCCTGCCAGTGCCTTACATAGGGATAGTAGATACTACAGAGAGATCTGTACAAACAGTATTGCACATTCTTCTTACTGCATTTAAGAAAAGATTTAGATTTTATTTTTAAAGGCTGGCACAGTACACACTAGACACAATATCCATATCTCTTGTACAGCTACTTATCAGTCATGAGCAAATAACAGTCAAGGTTTGCTCATGTCACCAACTCCTATTATGAGCCAAAATGCAGTTTTAATATTACAAAAGGTATACATGACTCTCATTCATGGAGTTGCTATAAGTAAAAGTTGACTTAATTGCAATTAACAACATCAACAATATAAGACTTTGTATCCATTCTGTTATTATAACTATGATGTTACATAAGAGTATAGACACCATGCCAGTTACTGTAGCAAAGCATGTCAGATATCAAACAACTTCTATTCAGTATTTTTTTTCTGTGTGCTGATCTCAATAGATATCTAACATTAGCAACATGTTCCCGAAATGAAAACACGTAAAAGCAGGGATATGCTGCTTCTGATGGATTTACTGTACATGTCTTTTTGCTTGTCATTACACAAATAAAGTTATCAACTGAGAGCTTGTACAAATTGCCTTCTTGGACTGCAGTTCCCAGAATGATCCCAATAACATAGCCAGTACCTATTATGGCTGTAGGATTCTGAGAGTTACAATCCAAAAAAAGAATTGGCTATGTCATTGCCCAGTCATGCAGAAGTATGTGACAGCTGATTTTTCATCCTCTTTTCCTTATTAGATAGCAATTCACACACTGTGGAACATCAGGATTGTTGTCTTGGCCAAACCAGAGCATGAGAATCGTATAAGCCACCTCTGTATTGACAATGTGAGGACTGGAATTGCAAACAGATTGGGTAAGATGCAAATGAACCATGTGTAAGAGAAGGTCCCACCATAGTCTCTTACAATGAGAAACTGCAGTTAAGCATGTTTACAAATGCAATGACTGCTTTGCAACTATAGAATTCCCAGGATTGTTTATATCCACTCTTAATTATTTGTAAGTTTTACAAAATTGCGTGTACAACAGATATTACAGTACAGAAATAAATATTTGTGGTCTCAACACGATTTCGAATGGAAGGAGGGAAACTCAACTCAGGAGTATTGTATGCTAAAGTGTTTCAATTGGATATTGTTGTACATTTTTATATAATGTGGTTTATTTTTTTCTCTCCAACATAAAGATTATATGCTAAAATCGTTTGTTACACACCTTCAAGTTGATTTCAGCTTATGGCAACTCTATCCATGTTTCGGCAATATTTACTCACAGAAGGATTTCTATTGCCATTCCCTGAGGCTAAAAGATTATGATTTACCCAAGGTCACTCAGTGAGTTTCCATAGTTGAAAATAGGGATTCAAACGCTGGTTTCCCAAAGTCCTAGTACCTCATAGAATCATAAAATTGGAAGAGACCCTTGTGGCCATCCAGTCCAACCCCCTTCCATGTGCTCTCACTTTATATTGGCTGCTATCCTACCACACAATGTATTGAATCCCAACTGGTTCTTTGGCACTTAAATTGCTTTGGCACTTAAATTACTCTGGCACCTCTAAAACAAATTAATTCTCTTGACTCTTTCACCATCTTCTCAAAATCTAACATATCAGTTTAACTGGGTAGTGTGCTCCACAGATTCCTATGGCATCCTTGTATATCCAAACCTGAATTGTTCTTTTATTTATTTCCCTGGAATCCCAATTCATTCAGTCATAAATGATTAATATTGTCTTGTGCTTACTATGTGCTAGATCTGATATCTAAAACTAAATATATGTTACTTAAATGTGACATGAGCAAAACCTGCAAAGGAAGGAATCTAATAATTTGCACTCAGAAGTTCTGAACTGCAGATGACAAATTTGTTGCATTCACATTTAATAAGAATCTACCCAATTCATATTTTCCAAGCCTACACATGAATGGAAAAACAGTTATATTGCATTTAAAATGTCTCTGATGCAGCTTACAAAAAGAAAATTCATATCATATAGAAAAGTACACAATATGTGTGTACTACAGGGTAAGAGAGAATCGAACATTCACGTATAAAGAACCATTTCTTGCATAATGCACATATCAAGAAAAGTACAAATGTAAACAAAGGCATTAGAAAAAAAATATACAAATAATACATTCAATTTTACAGCAGCATTTCTCTCTTTCAGGTAACAAAGGTGCTGTTGGGGTGTCCTTCATGTTTAATGGAACCTCCTTTGGCTTTGTGAACAGCCATTTAACTTCAGGAAGTGAAAAGAAACAGAGGTAAATTGCTAGTATCTTTCTGAGAGTCATTGGAGAGAAATCCTTTTACACTGATACAGACACTTCTGTTAGCTCAAGTGGTTAATTCAGATATGTGTGAATGATCCAATTTGATTAGTAAAAGTTGAAGTTGAAAAAACTAAGATTTTCCATATGCATTTCAATTATTGCAGTTCATAGAGGCAGGGAACATTTTGGTTCATTTGTGGTCACATGAGCCAGGATATTCCTCCCCATGCTTTGATTTGGTTTGCTTTGCTTTCACTCTAAATTAGTGCTGGCTCATCAAGCTGAAATGGTGTAATGGAGGAGAGGGTGCAAATGTGACAATGTTTGTCAGAAGAGGGGTTAAAATAAAGAAGAGACATGTAGAGGAATATCCCAGACTATGTCACCATGGATGAACCAAAATAATTCCTGCCTCTTTATGAATTCCATGATATTATTTGAAAAAGAAGAACCCATTGGATTCTATGGAGGACTCCATGAACATTATACAAGGAGGGTCAGGCAACCTGAAATTGTCCTGTAAACAAAAGGACTACAGTTAGGCTCTCCAGTTTCATAGAATCATAGAGTTGGAAGAGACCTCATGGGCCATCCAGTCCAACCCTTTTTCAAGAAGCAGGAAAATCTCATTCAAAGCATCCTTGACAGATGGCCATCCAGCCTGTTTTAAAGTCTCCACCACCACACTCCGAGCAAGAGTTCCACTGCTGAACATCGCTCACAGTTAGGTTCAGGTGGAGTCTCCTTTCCTGTAGTTTGAAGCCATTGTTCCACGTCCTAGTCTCCAGGGCAGCAGAAAATGCTTGCTCCCTCCTGCCTATGACTTCCCCTCACATATTTATACGTGGTTATCATGTCTCTTCTCAGCCTTCTCTTTCGTAGAGTTTAGGGACACAGAACTTCTATGAAAGTAGAAAAACTTTCAGTTTGCCTTTTTAAACCTGAGAACAGGTTTAAAAGGGGAATCTCTAAGGCTCTAAGGTTTAAAAAGGGAATCTCTAAGGCTCTAAGGTTTAAAAAGGGAATCTCTAAGGCTGGCTCTACACTTCCACATAATCTAGTTTCTCTGAATTTGATTATATGATCCTACACTGCCATATAATCCAGTTCAAAGCAAATAATCTGGATTCTGAAACCAGATTATATGGCAGTGTATATGCTGCCTAGGTGTTTAGTATGGAAATTGACCATAGAACGATGCCAGAACTATGCCAGAGCATATTAATCAAATCTGCTAATAATCAAATCTGCAAAAATTAATCCACAAATGTGGAGAGTCATCTGTACTGCACTAATTGGAAAGGGAATTTCAACTTGTCATCTTAGCCCTAGTGTTGTGCAGAATTAAAATAAATAAAACAGCAGCCAAGAGGAGAAAGTAAACATGCTTGGAAAAACAACTGGAAATGGAAAAGAGGCATAAGGGGATGTGGCACACCCACATTAAGTTCCCAGCTCATGTCCCCAGCAGACAGCCACACATAAACCAGAACGACCTGCCTTTATGAACCTCACTGCTGCAATTAAAAAGAAAAATGTCAGGAGGCAGCATATGGAAGGGGAAATGAGAAGAAGTGACATTAAATGTAATAAAAGAATGCAGCACAAATTGCTCAAATTGACCCTGTCTAGATGAGTTCCCAGCTGGTGTCCATCACAACATTTGTGGTAGTAAATTCCATAAATTACTTGCATGCTGTGTGAGGAAGTACTTTTCAAAATTCTGTCTCAAACCGACTGGCAGTTAATTTCACCACATGTCCCTGAATTTTATTAGAATGAGTGAGAAAGAAAAACATGTCCCTCTTCATTTTCTTCACGCCATGCATAACTTTATAATAAACTTCCATGATATCTCCAGGCCATCTTTTTTCAGAACTAAAAAAGCCCAAATTCTTCAGTATTTCCTCCTCTGGAAGATGCTCCAAATCCCTGACCATAGTTATTGTCCTTTTCTGCACCGTTGCCTGCTCTGCAATATATGCCGCCCATAAGTTGCAGCTTGTCCATCCCTTATCTACAGTCTGTTATTTATAGTGTATTTATAGCCTGAAGAAGCTCCAGCAAAGTACAGAACATATAGAATATATTTGAAATGTAAAGAAACACAGATGATCAGTCGTGGCTCTGTTGAATTTAACACAAGGTTCTAATACTGGAATCTTTTAGTGATACAAACTTCGTTTTGTGATTTTGGCCAATTTCCTTTTTTTTCCCCCTAGGGAAAAAAAGTCCCTGCAAAAGAGCTGACTTACAGCCAATCCGTCCCCATTCGTAACCACACAAATACACAATGTAGCTAGATAATTTAAACACCCGAAGGCCCCAGTAGCACAATGGGTTAAACCCTTGTGCGGGCAGGACTGAAGACCAACAGGCCAGAGGTTCAAATCTGGGGAGAGCACAAATGAGCTTCCTCTGTCAGCTCCAGCTCCCCATGCAGGTACATGAGAGAAGCCTCCCACAAGGATCTGGGCGTCCCCTGGGCAACATCCTTGCAGACGGCTAATTCTCTCACCCCAGAAGTGCCTTCTAGTTTCTCAAGTCACTCCTGACATTAAAAAATAATAATAAACAGAATTATGAAATTCCTTTATTGAAAAAGAAATTAGAATAGCAGACAGTTAGTTGTGTGCTTGTGTTTGTTATGATTTAGGAAGGAATTCTGCTAAGAGAACGACCCTATAAGGCTTTTAGGGGTCTTTTCTTACTTGTCTCGATTGTTTATATTGCTTCTTAGATTCATCTCCCCTTCTCTTCTGTGTGCTTCAGAAATAGAAATCATATAAACATGCCTAAATAAAGCAAAGGAATCCAGAGCTGTGTTTCAGCAAAGTATTTTACTTTCTTTCCCTGCCCAAATTTCTGCAGCAAGTACTAATTCCCATGGCAACACATACTGCAGGTTCTTCTTTCTATCTCCTGTTCTTCTCATTTCAGTGGTTCAGGCAAGGTGGCCCATTTCAGGTGGTGGTTATGGCCTGTATCTGTATTGAAAACCTATCTTCTCTTAATTTTCTTGTAATGCAGTCGCTTAAAGAACAGGGAGCCGTTTGTCTGTATTTTTACACTTAGGTAGGATTATAGAGTTGTAAGAGACCATCACGGCCATCCTGCCCAACCCCTCTGCCATTCAAGAATACACAATCAAAGTATTTCCAACAGATTGCCATCCAGCCACTGTTTCCAAGCCTCCAGAGAAGGAGACTTTACCATACTCCAAAACAATGTATTGCACTGTTGAACAGCTCTTACCATCAGAAAGTTCTTCCTAATGTTTAAGTGGAATCTCTTTTCCTGTAGTTTGAATCCATTGCTCCATTGTGCCCTAAGTCTCCAGAGCAGCAGAAAACAAGCTTGCCCCCTCCTCAACGTGACACCTTTTCAAATCTTTGGCAATCATGTCACCTCTCAGGGAACCACTGAACTAGACAGTATAGTCCTATTGATGCAACCTAGAATCACATTGATCCTATCATACTGTTAGCTCAGATTCAGCTTGTAATCTGCTAAGACTCCTAAATGCCTTTCACATGTACTGTTTTCAAGCCAGGTGGCACCTATCCCATATCTGTACATTTCAGTTTATTACTTAAGTATACAAATTACATTTCTCCCTATTGAAAATAATTCTGTAATTTGTGCCATGCAACTGTTTGTGGAATACTATATCTGACATCAAGTCTATATATCAGTATTAAAACTGTTTATTTTATCATTGCTATCTAGCTCTACGTATTTTTGCAAGTATTATACATTGTCAGTATAGTTGTCATTTGTTTGTAGATGGCCTTATTTATTTATTAATTTATTTATTTCAAACATTTGTACCCCGTCCTTCTCAACCCCCAAGGGGGGACTCAGGGCAGTAATTCAATGCCAGCAACATACAAAACACATTACAATACAACATTACATAATAGATAAAACATTAGCTTAAAAACATTAGCTTATTATTAATCATATAGCCAAATCCAAATTTGATTCAATGACCAACGACCCAGTCCAACGCCTGTCCATAGTCATGTGTTGAAATATTAAGGTGTATAGGGTTCTTTTGGCTTTTTATTCCCCACTCTTACGCCATTATTTACTGTCATATTGACACTTTTTTGATTATGTGGAGTCCCTTTCCTATGTTTTTCATTGATGTTTTGTGCAGAATAATAAATAAAATAATGAATACAACAAATGAAATTGAATATTGAATGGAAACTTTCTCCGATTGGAGTTCAAGAATGGAATAGTGAATAGGTAGAAGTTTATTTATGGATGGAGTGTCAGTACGAAAATTGTTAGTGAATGTGAGGAAGCTGACACTGAAGCACACATGTATTTATTATTTACAGCTGTTTTGGAAACCTCTATCTATCAGCAGCATAAACAACATATTGTTAATTATAAGAGGATACTGGAAATCTATTAGCTAGTCAGGAAACAAGTCCTTGAGCTATAATTACAAAGCAAGCACCATGTAAAATCTATTCATGCCAAACTTTTCACTTTGTTTTAGGTTGTTATTGTTATAAGTAGATGGCTGATAATAGCACCACAATGCTCTGCTTATTCTACTTTTCCTTTAGATTCCTAAGAGCTAAAATAATTTCTACTTCTTAATATTTTCCTTGTTTTAGTATCCTTTTTCCTTTAACATAACTTTGCCCTCCTCTAGCTTTGTTGTTACCCTCTGGCCTTTCCCTTCATCATGCTACAAAGCAATGTATTAAGCATCCTTATCTTTTTTCTTTTTTTTTAATTAGGCGAAACCAGAACTTCACCAGTATTCTGCGCTTTCTGTCACTCGGAGACAAGAAGTTGAATCCATTTAACATCACTCACCGCTTTACTCATCTCTTCTGGCTGGGAGACCTGAATTACCGCTTGGAGTTACCCCCAACGGTTAGAGAGCCCCTTTGCTTCTCTATAGTACTTAGTGTCTATTGCACTCTTTTTACATCCTGTATTATTGCATGCCTTTTACATGCTGTAAGTTGGGACTCTATTATTATCTCCACCAATGAAAAATGCAGAGCTGAAACCAAGAGAATACCTAACATCTATGAAATTCATGGCTGAACTGAGATTTGAATTGGGACTGTTTTACTTTAGCTGTCATCCTTTTAGTTTTAAAGCCATCCATAATTTTAGTGGTGGTCCCATTTTTCATGAGCTGAAACGAAGCCTGTTCTGTTTTTCAGCAGAAGTATTACCTGCACATCACTAATTGGCTGGCCCATATGTCAATCACAAAGTTACTTCTTCCCCTTTTTAGAGCAGGTTGTCAAGCAGAAGAAGACAGGAACAATAACAAAAAAAAATCTGTAAAAACTAAAGCTCTGAACCAGAAGTTGGAAAAGTTATTTTGTTGGGTTATGTTTTTAAAAATCACATAGCATCAGTCATAATGTATGGTAGATTTGGGGAGATAGACTCCAAAAATGAAAAGTGATTGAAAATGCAAACAAATCCAAAGCAGATAAGTACAACGAAGAGATGAACCAGATGAGGAACTTTCAATAGTAGATGTTCACCTTACTCCTGTCTGTAGCTGTATCTCTGTGCAGTGTTTGGTCTTACTGTACACCAAGGCTGCTTGTGGTTGCAGTGGTTGTGGTATTGCAGTGATTTACTCACTCAGGTTTTACAGTGAACCCACTGGATATAATTGTCCTATGGAAATCCTGTTTCATCCACACTTCCTCTCACTGCCTCCTCAAAAAGCCTATTTTTTGAGGACAGAACATAGCACAATCTCTCCAGGTGCAGATATTCTTCTGACTGTCTAGCTTTCGTTCTTTTCTAAAAAGAGGTATGGTTTTGACCTGTCTGCTAGTAACGTATCAAGAAGGTGAATCTATTACACTTCAGTATGTGATTACTATGAGGTGCCTCAAGTTGCCTCTCAATTTCTAGCCACTTAATGAGACACTCAGGGGTGGCTTGCCATTGTCTTCTTCTGAAATATTGCCTATGGTTCTTGGTATTCCTGAACCATCTTCCTTCCATGCTTGATCCTCCTTAGCTTCCAAGATCAAATGGTTGCTGGTATTCTCATGTTAATCTTTACGCTTTGGCACTTATATGTGTATTTAAGAACATTTAGGAATGTTCTTAAATTCCTAAATTAGGATTTTTGATAGAACCGAAATGTTCTTCTGGCTATAATTTTTTTTTAAAGCAAAATGTCATTTAAATGGCAAAGTGCTATGGCAATGTGCCATTATAATCCATTTTCCTGAAACACACATAAAACCTCATAGACTTTCAGTGCCGTTTTGGAAAGGTTATTTATTGTAGAGATTAGAAAGATACTTTTAAAAAACAAACAAACATTTAACTTGCTTGATCACATTGGCCTCAACAAACCTGTATTTACTCAAGTCTAATATGCCATCGTATCTAATGCGTGCCTCAATTTTCAAAACCCGGAAACCCAAAAAAGTATTTACTATATTACATGAAAATAATGTTCTCCTTAATTTGGGGAAGGTAATTTAGTCAAAAAATGTGAGCATTAGAATCAAGTAAATATGGCTTTGTCACTCCTAATGCTATGAAACAATGATATTTACTTACTCGAGTCTTAATTTCCCAGATCCCCATTGACTCAATGGGTCTACTCTAGTTGGAACTAGCAAGTGGATTTGGACCATTATTTGTGGCAATATATCGTGTAAAGCTACACAGTGGCAATATAAGTAGATATAATGATACGTTAAAGCCATAATTCTATAGTGTTGTACCCTTAGGGTGTATGCCATTGTAGTACTATAATGCTGATTTTAAAAAAACAATTTAAGAACTATTTCCAGTTATTGCCATTAACCTCCACCCCCTCTTACTTGAAACAATGGTGACTGGAAAGGGAGTTTTTGCAATCTTAAAATGCATTAGAGCATTATAGGATGTGATGCCATTATGCTTTTTAACGTTCAAGTGTTATTTTGCTACTATTTTAACTTTTGAGGCTGTCACTGGAAAAGTGGCTATTACTTCAGCACTACTTAGAAGAGTGGGTTAAAAATAGGTGAGAGACAAAAAGAGTCCCATTGCATTTGGAAGGCTTCAGTGTTTCTCAGCCTTTAACCCTTAACCTCCTTTTCTAAACATAAAAAATCATAGCCCCCTCCTTAAAGCATAACTATTATTAATTTTTGATATGATTTAAAATCTCTTGATTTTAAAAGAAATCAAAATATTTGTAAACTTAGTAAATGCATTTATTTCAATGTTACTTTTTCAGCATTAATTTATGTGTGCCATTGCACATTGTAAAAGGTAGCAAGGTGTAGTGGTTTGGACTATGATTCTTGACCGTTTGACTCCCCACTCCGGGCAGTTCCAGGCAGTGGAAAAGTCCACGCCAACCCAGGTTTTAAAAAACCAGATTGGGGTGGACTGTAGTCTGCCCCAAAAAGTCCGCACTTTCCGTGAGCGTTCTATACATGTCCACCTGGCACCTACCAGGAGAACAGGGAGGCAGCCCCTACCCTCCCCAAACCCCTTTTAAAAAGAAAATAACTTATAGGGCTGGCATTTCTCTACTGCTGGCCTTCTCCTGGAGCTTAGAAATGATGCGCCAGGAGAAGGGGTGAGAAGAGGGGGCCCTTGCAGTTTTCTGGGCTGATTTAGTCCAGAAAAACATGAGACTGTTGTCTGGACTGCCCCCTCAGAAGCCCAGGACTTCTGAGAGGGCAGTCCAGGCAGCTGCCATAGTGGGTTTGCCCTGTGCCTTTCAAGAAGGTGTGGAACAAACCCACTAACAAATAATCTCGGCACAAAGCAGAGCAAAGCAGAGTTTTCCTGCTTTGCACCAAAAGCATTCACGATTTGGGGGGGGGGGGTGTCATCTGGACACCCATTGCAAATATCCAGGAGGACATGCATTTTGCACCCTGTCTGGATGCGTTCTCAGTCATGGAACTCTACTAAGTTAATCTGGGCAAGTCACAGCCTCCCATCTTAAGAGGAAGGCAATAGCAAACTTCTTCTGAATAAAAATTGTCAAATAAATTCCATGATAGGGTTGTCATAAGTTGGAAACAAATTGAAGACACACAACAAAACTGCATTATGGAATGATACAATCAGCGATGTATGAACAAAGCAATAGGTATAACTTGATATTTTCCCATTCCTCTCTCTCTTTTAAATCATATAATAGTATTTCATATGGTTTTTCATACTGTAAATTTATTTGCGCAGATTCCAATATGCTCCACTGGGATGGCACTGTTATCATGAATGTGTGTTCGGCTGAGAGGATCAGCTGAACAAAAGGTTTCCTCCCACATCATCATCATCATCATCATCATCATCATTAGAAACACAACAAGATTAGTACACAGCAAACAAGATCACTATGCTGGCTGTTGTATAGGATCACACATCAGACACTTCCCAAGTGACTAGGACTGTGTGATGTATTGGCTAATAATGTGTGCAGATCCTAATAGGGTGGTCTTTTGCAGCTGACAGATGGTAATTTTGTCAATGCCGATTGTGTTTAAGTGCAGGCCAAGGTCTTTAGGCTCTGCACCCAGTGTGCCAATCACCACTGGGACCACCTTTACTGGCTTGTGCCAGAGTCTTTGCGGTTTGATATTATTATTATTATTATTATTATTATTATTATTACTACTACTACTACTACTACTACTACTATTATTATTTCCTGCTTTCCATGCAAAATTGGGACTCAGAGTGGCTCACCATTTAAAAAAGCAATACAACTAAAACATATGAAAAACAAATATTAAAATAGAATTAAACTATTATACAATTCATCCCTGAATAAAAGAATACAATACAATTCAAAATCTGTTCAGTTAATACATTACAGCACTACCTGCTAAATAGCTCTGCTTCCTTGAACAGCTCAACTCAGAGTAAAACCCAGTTAATTCACTGGCCTGCAGACATCAGTAGGGCAGTGGAAATAGGTGTATATTGAAATGCATCCTAAGCATACAGTCCTATGCATGCCAACTTCTAAGGATGTTCTTTTGAGTTTGAACACTTGCTTGCTACCTTAAGTGAATCAATCATACTAGTTTGCTTGCTACCTTAAATGAATCAATCATACTAGGCATCATGTCAAGCACTGCTGCTAAAGCTTGTTTTAAGGGGGAAAGTGTCAAAAGATGACACTTGAACATATTGGATTTTGCTAGATTCTACAAATAGGTTTTTGTAGCCCTGAGTGCCAGCTTGCTATCTATTAGCAATTTAGTAAAGAAAACAGGACACGTGTTTTAACATCTGCCCTTTAACATTTTCCCTATTATCAGGAAGCAGAGAATATCATTCAGAAGATCAAACAGCAACAGTATATGGAGCTGTTGAATTTTGACCAACTCCTCATAGAAAAGAAAGATCGAAAGGTGTTTCTGCAGTTTGGTAAGATTATAAATTATGCCGCTAAGGCTAGAAATAGGCATTGATTTTCCTTGGCTCTTCTTTTATCTGGCCATTGAAAAATACTGCTTCTGTGAGGTAATCAAGGAGAAGAAAAGATTCCATTATTATTGCTTAAGAAACACTACACATAGAAACTGTCAGTGTGATGGTGAATGTTTGGTAGCTCCTCATATATATCACAGAAGAAAATGACACCATAAATCTGGCAAGAAATCACACACCAGCAGCTTTAGTGCAATAGGTTAAAAGGTTTTCAACGACCTTCATGAAATCTAAGGGTGGGAACCAATTTTTTTTCATGTCGGAAGCGACTTGAGAAACTGCAAGTCGCTTCTGGTGTGAGACAATTGGCCATATGCAGGGACGGTGCCCAGGTGATGCCTGGATATGTTAACGTCCTGTGGGAGGCTTCTCTCATGTCCCCAAATAGGAAGCTGGAGCTGACAGATGGGAACTCACCACATCTTGCAGATTTGAACCACCGACCTTCAGGTCAGCAGTTCATCTGACACAAGGGTTTAACCCATTGCACCACTCCAGTTGGGAAACAAATTTCAACCTGAGAGTTTAATTCAATTTTAGAGATTTGATGGGAAGAGGGGCACCTTCCAATAGTAGCCAGGGCAAAAGCAAAGTTGGGGGAATACCAAATACACAAATATACCAAATATACCAAAGTAAATACCTCCAGTTATTAAGTTCTAAGAGAGACAGTTCAGCCTTTTAAAATGGGACAAAGGGGGAACTGCCAAATGGTATCATGGGGAGGAGGTAGGAGCCATCCAGAGAACATCAAGAGGCTGGGCAGGGACCCTTGGAGATCCAGATTTGTTCCTAAGGCTAGGCGTTTACCACTTTAACTATAATTTCATGTGTTTGCTAAACAGCCCTCTAATCTATTTCAGAGGAGGAAGAAATAACATTTGCCCCAACCTATCGCTTTGAAAGGAACACCCGGGAGAACTATGTCTACACCAAGCAGAAAGCAACAGGGGTAAGCCAGATCGTATAGCATGTTGTAATGTTTCAGAGTGTATCTACCACCAAAACAGCTTCTCTTTCTTTCAGTAGATAAATGAAGGAAAGATAACTGAGAGCAGCAAGCTGATGGCATTTTGGCAACAGAGCGTTCCTTCTAACAGAGTGCTGTGTCCTTGATATTGATTCTTCTTTTGTTTGCAGATGAAATACAACTTGCCATCCTGGTGCGATCGAGTGCTCTGGAAATCATATCCCCTCGTACATGTGGTGTGTCAGTCTTATGGTGGGTAGATAACAGATTGAAAATAGCAGCAAAGCTGGTTTAAACGGAAATGATTCAGAGCCGAATCTGTGGAATTACTTTCCAGTGCCAAGTTCTTGACAACAGATACATCCTATCCTTTCTGGCTTGGAATGTGTGTTCCTTAAACTAGGATACACAGTATAGTGGCAAATGGAGCGGGGAATAGGCTACAGATCAGCAGTGAGGACAATGAACTTTGTCAGTATAGAAATACCTTTTTTTTCAATTACTAAATAAGAACCACGTAGTTACCTGTCAGCTTGAGAAGGCTAATATCAACAGGCCTAAATTGTGGTGTGTATGTTAAGCTGGCTGTGTGATTAGGGAAGTGGCCACGACCATAGCCCTCTCAGGCAGTGTTTTTTAAAGAAAGGTAGTTAGAATGCTTATAGACCATTTTCAGGAGATGCTCTCAGAACATCTTATCCCCAAAATTGTAAAACTAGATTTGCAATAATGACCACATGCAGAACAATATATAGTGGGCTGTTGGTTTCTGCAAGATTTCATGCCAGGACCCTATGTGGGTCTCAAAATCCATTAATTTTCAAGTCCTATTAGATACACTGGCATACTGTATATAATATGGGAAAATCATGGTTTGCTTTTAGGAATGGATGGTGAGGTATTTTCAAACTGTGAATGGGTTATTCTCTGATTGCAGAATCCACAAATACAGAGGACCAACTATCATGGAATGCTAGTATAAAACTACAGTTTCAATATATACTTTATTTATTTACATGCTACATTTATATACCACTTTTCTTCCCCTGAGAGTGACGCCGGACTTAGCGCAGACATCCGATTGGCACAGCCCACCGCAGCCCAGAACTCCTGAGTTCATGCCATCCGCTGCCCTCAGCCTCCAGGCAGCTGGATTACAGTTTCCAACATAATAAAGGCAAAATTCAATGCTGTACATACATGTGAAAAACAAAACATAATAGCTAGACAATAACATATAACTATAAATTAAAAACCTAACCATATGAAAACATAAAACTTAAAATAACATTTGGACATAAAATGTAGAAAGTTAAGCATCGGTAATACAATAACATTTATATTAAAACCCACCCGTAAACAACACAATTTAAAACAGTTATTAAAAGACCTGGTAAGATGAAATGATTTTCACCCATTGCTGCAAGGAAGGTGGAAGGCAAAGATCTTTAAGGAGGGAGTTCCAGTTATAGCATGCCACAATAAAGGGTGCCTTATCCACCTTTGGGACCTCCTGGTGGTGCAGCGGGTTAAACCGCTGAGCTGCTGCACTTGCTGATCGAAAAGTTGGTGGTTTGATTCCGGGGTGTGGGGTGATCTCCCGCTATTAGGCCCAGCTTCTGCCAACTAAGCAATTTGAAAACATGCAAATGTGAGTAGATCAATAGGTACTGCTTCAATAGGGAAGGTAACGATGCTCCATGCAGTCTTGCTGGCTACATGACCTTGGAGGTGTTTATGGAAAATGCCAGCTCTTCAGCTTTGAAATGGAGATGAGCACACACACACACACCCCCCCCCCCCGAGTCAGACACGAATAGACTTAATTTCAGGGGAATCCTTTACCTTTACTACTTACCCACCTTACTACTTACCTAGCTCAGAAAGTGATAAGAGCCTAATCATGGATAGAGTGTAATACTTGGGTAGGTTCATATGAGAACAATTATCCTATCCTCAAGATGCTCCAGGTATGGTTGTGTTATAATGGTCAGAGGGGTTACTATCCAGAATATAACCCTTTTTAACAATATGACTTTTAAAAAATGAGTAATTGTGCATAATTATGATATTTGATCTTTTGTTGAGAAGTCAAGAACAAGGATCTTTAGCATTTGCCTTTCTTCTTAGGATGTGCCACTGATATCATGACAAGTGACCACAGTCCTGTCTTTGCCACGTTTGAGGTTGCTGTTACCTCACAGTTTGTTTCAAAGAATGGTGAGTAAATGCAGTGCAAGTTCTTTTTTCATTGCTCTTTATAAGAAAAATGTGGAGCGTCACAATGCAGTCTTTTAACTTACAGACTTCTAACCTGCAGAAGTGTTCTTTTCCTTCAGATAATAAATGCACAGACTCTTCAGGACAGATTGAATTCCTACACTGCAGTGCCACTCTCAAGACAAAATCACAGACAAAATTCTACATTGAATTCCACTCCAGCTGCTTAGAAAGTACTGTTTCTCCTTTCTTTTGTATTGTAAAGAAGTGTGTTATAGTGCTTCATTCAGAAGACTGAGTCAGCAAGTGTGTGTGTGTGTGTGTGTGTGTGTGTGTGTGTACCTGACTGCTGAGACAACCATTCAAGTTTAGTCTTAGACATAGATAAGTCATGTATTTATTTTGCTTTGTTTTGTTTCTATTCTGATTGCAGAAATTATAATTTCCCTAAAGCCTAGTTTCTGAAGGCTTTGACTGACACATAGATTCAGAGTATTGTCCTTGTTCAGACCTCCCTTGCTTCTTAAAGTCCAGAAATCAGACTGTAGCATAGTATCACTGTGCAATTTGGTATAGCTAAACTACAGTTATAGCTTTACTATAACTAGACTATTTTGCAGGACCAATTACCTAAACTCTAGTGGCCAAATGGCCCACACAGGATCTTTGAACCCTTTCTCTGCCCCCTAAGTTTGCTTTTGCTTGAGCCAACTGGGAGGAGGGAGCGTCACATCCTCTCCACTCCCTCTTACTGAGTTAAATGAGTTTAAACTACTTGCCTACTTGCAAGCTACTCTGAGTCCCCTTCGGAGTGAGAAGGGCAGGATATAAATATAGTAAATAAATAAAATAAATACTTTGAACTCAGTTTGCAGTGACTGAAGTAAATGGGGTCAAAGGGGAAAAGTGGGAAGAGGAAAGAGTAACCAGGAGTGCATCTACACTTTAGAATTAATGGAGTTAATACCACTTTGTAGCTCCCAGTAGCGCAGCAGGTTAAACCGCTGAACTGCTGAACTGCTGACCGAAAGGTTTGTGGTTCGAATCCAGGGAATGGGGTGACCTCCCGCTGTCAGTCCCAACTTCTGCCAGCCTAGCAGTTTGACAACATGCAATGGCACTCCATGCAGTCATGCTTGCCACATGATCTTGGAGATGTCGATAGACAACACCAGCTCTTCGGCTTAGAAATAGAAATGAGCCCTCCCAGAGTTGGACACAACTAGGTGGCAAGTCGGACACAACTATGTGGCAAGGTGAAACCTTTACCTTTACCCTTTTTAATGCCACTTTAACTGCAATGACTCAGTGCTATGAAATCTGGGGAAATTTATACGGTCTTTAACTTTCTCTGCCAAAGATTGCAAGTGCCTCGCCAAACAGCAACTTCCTTGATTCCATAGCCTTGAACCATGGCAAGTGGTTTCGAATTGTGTTAAATCTACAATGTAGATACCCCCTAGTATATTTTAAAAGAAACTGAATAAGGGAGATAACAGAAAATGAATATGAGCTGTCTCTGCCAATTGTAGGGTATACCATTTGAGGGCCATTAAGAGGTTTTAAGTCAAAGCAGCTTTTTAAAAAAAACAGGCAGTAAATTAGAATCCAATCTGATTTAGAAAAAGCTCCCCATGACTTCATAGACCAAGATGAAAATTACTCTCCACAACCCATCCCCATTTCCCAAAAGACAGGGTGCATTTTGAGTTAAAACGTACCCTCTAAAAAGTAAAAAAAAAATTGAGTGGCTCTTAGGGACTAGAAAAAACAGTTTTTGGAGAGCTACACGCAGCTCACAGGGTCTACTTTCCCTTCCCTAGCCATATTGCAATTCAAACAAAATAATGGAAAAATAACCATGCGAAAAGACTTCCCCTGTGTTATGCAAAATGGCGTTTCATTTAAGTGGAGCATACATTCGAATTTGCAGCTTGACAGGACTGTGAATGGCAACCAATATAAAAAAATCTGAGGGAAGATCAGAAACCAGTGTGTGTGAGTGATTCTATTACTACCCAATGCTGATTCTGTAAACAGAACTGTACAACATTAGCAGAAGTGATATTTCCCAATTTCTGAATCTCTGGTTGTCTGCCAAACAAGAGTGTGCCCCAAGTCATTGACTGTATTGTGCCCTAAGAGGGGATTAGACTTGAAAGGGAAATTGCATGGCCGTGTTTTCCTATTATTCATATGTCATAGAACTGTAGTAACCCAGCTCCACACCAAAAATATATATTTTGGCTGTACAGAGATTTGCATACATTTCTATGGAAACCATGTGTTAGAATGCTTAAATTAGAATGTATGAAAAATGCTATCTTGAGTAGTGTAGGAAGAGCTGTCATGTTCTCTTTATCCTCTTGTCCACACATACAGTGAGCCTAATGTCTTTCTTAACCGGAATGAAGTAATAAAAAGACAATGCAACAAGGTCATTTGCAAATATACTATGCAAACATCAGATCCCAATTCCTGTAGGTGCTTTCCATTCTGGTGTCTAGAAAGAGGAGTAATGAACAGTTCCCCTTTGCTGCCAGATTTTTTATTTTTGGAAATGTGGGTGCTTGTTGTACATTTCTCAGCTGGAAATGTGGTGCTTGTTGAACATTTCTTTTTTCTTTTTCCAGGCTTTGTAAAGAGCAAAGAGGGAGAAAATGAGGAAGGAAATGAGGGAGAACTGGTGGTAAAGTTTGTCGAAGCCCTTCCTAAGGTAGTTTTTTCTGTTTATTTTAATGAAGCCAGTACATCTGTAGCTTTGCAGTGTAGGAAACGCACCTATTGGCTGATTCAAAAAATGATTAAGATTATATCTGAAAAGTCCTATTAAATGCACACTGATTCGCAATTGTTGCTTGCACAATTCTTCCTCAGCTCGCAAATAGTGCTGTAACAAGTCCCCAAGGGACAGGTTGCAGACAAGAACATTATCTTGCAGCACTTTGCAATTGTTAGTTTCACTTCCTTTACCATTCAAGGGGGAAGTGAAATTTACAAAAATGTTCTTTTATGTTTTGATGAGATTGGTTGCAACAGAAATGGACAGTATTCTGTCAATAGTTAAGGGGTGAAACATCTCTCCCTCTCTCTCTCTCTCTCTCTCACACACACACACACACACATGAGTCACTGTCAGGCTAGACAGAAATAACTAGCCACAGAGGCCCCTTCTACACTGCCATATAATCCAGATTATTAAAACAGATAATCCACATTATCTCCTTTGAACTGGATTATATGAGTCTACACAGATAATCCAGTTCAAAACAGATAATCTGGATTTCATATGGCAGTATAGAAGGGGCTTGAGAAACAGCTGTCCTGATTAGGATTGCATGGGAAGGGGGCACTATAGTAGTGAATATGATAACAAAAAGAGGGGAGAGAAAAGAGAAGGAAAGAAGCAGAAGAGAACGAAAGTATAGTAGAGTCTCGCTTATCCAACCTTCACTCATCCAATGTTTTGTATTATCCAACACAGTCTGCCTCCCACCCGGATCTATAGCTGTTTCAATGCATTGTGATGTTTTGGTGCTAAATTTATAAATACAGTAATTACTACATAACATTACCATGTATTGAACTGCTTTTTTTGTTGATTTGTTCTAAAACATATTTTGGTGCTTAATTTGTTAAATCATAACGTAATTTGACATTTCATAGGCTTTTCCTTAATCCCTCCATATTATCCAACATTTTCACTTAACCAACATTCTGCCGGCCTGTTTATGTTGGATAAGCAAGACTCTACTGTAGAAATAAAAAGGATATGAATATGAGCTAGGCATATAGTTTAATATAAGCTGACCGTGTTTCTAAAAATACATTTTCTTGAAGCTGGGAGCTATAAAATACATCTCCTTGTGTCTTCAAAGCAGTGAGATCTTCTGGCCATTGAGTGATTGATGGTAAATGTTCATCTTGATGTATACAAGATGACCCCCATGATATCCGTGAAATCGTTATCCACATTTTCATTAACCCATGCCTGACAATATATGTATGTCCTTTCTAAGCATTTTCTAGGCCCTCCAGTGTGACTCTAAGAGGTATACTTGAACCAGAAGTCTTCTATTTCAAAAGTGTTTGCCATTATCTGTAGTTTGGTGCATTCCGAAGATTTCTATGATATGGAGGTCCTATTGGGGTTGGTTGGTTTTAGCAACAGTAAAAGCATGGAAGAAGGAAGAGGAAAAATGTTCTTCACTTCCCATGATGAGAAACCTCCTCCCCATGTCTTTCAGTCCTAATGCACAGAAGCAGCATATAGGACAGTGGTGACTCCCGTTGCCCCCACAGCCCCCTTTTTAGAAGAATCAGACTCCCAAAAGCCCTTTAAAGAGTTTTCTGGTGGCCTAGTGGGAGCCTGGTTTTCCTAGTCAGTAGGATACACAGTGAGATTCATCCTCTCTTTTTCTTACATTCGGGATCACAATGAAGTGTCCCTCTGAGCTCTGTGTTCTGGTGGTGGGAAACTGATGAGGGCAGTGAAGAGGCTTGACTTCCTGTGAACCTCAGAAGCATGTGTTTCAATTTAGATTCTGAGGCAAAGAGATGATGCAACAGCTTTATTGGTTTGGAAAACAAAGAATTGTGGGCAGCATGACATAAAAAGTAATGCCATCCCCGAGATGCAGTTGGTTGATCTTTTATAGAATTTCCAAGGACATTTAACACCTTACGGAATTCCTTTTCCCACGCTCTCTTCCTCTCCGTCCCCTTCATCCACCATGCCACCTTTGATCACATGCTTATCAAAACAGGCACAACTTCCAAATTGCAGTCATTTGATATATCAGTTATCATTTGAACCTTTTCCCTTTCTTTGAGGCATTTATTTGGTCCAATAAATCAAAAGTAAAATATAATTATTGTTTTGAATTTTCTTGCATCTAAGACTTGCTTTAGGGTTTATTGTCCTGTGAGTTCCTCTGCTTAACATTTGAGACCTTCAGTTGATCTCTAAGGAAGTGATGGGCTGCTTATGGCTGTATTTTCCCTTCTTTCAACTGCCATTTGTTATGTGTCTCCCTTGGCTTAATACAAGATTTCCTTCTAATGCTAAAGACTGAGTCTGTTTATTTAATCAAACCTATTCTATATATTATTCCTATTAATTAATCAAATGAAATCAGGCCCCTTGTCCCCTTCAGCAGGGCATCTCCAACGGGCAAGATATATGGCCCTTAAGGCCACAGATTCTCCATTGCTGCACTAAAGCAATAAAGAATGAAGATACATTTGGAAGTTGCAGCAGGGAAAGGTTCAGCCTCCTAAGACTGGACAAAGGGACATGAAAGAAAAGCTTTCAAAGGTATATCACAGATTAGACCACACCTGGAATACTGTGTCCAGTTCTGGGCAACACAATTGAACAGAGATATTGACAAGCTGGAATGTGTCTAGAGGAGGGCGACTAAAATGATCTAGGGTCTGGAGAACAAGCCCTATGAGGAGTGGCTTGAAGAGCTGGGCATGTTTAGCCTGCAGAAAAGAAGACAGAGGAGACATCATGATAGCCATGTATAAATATGTGGGGGGAAGTCATAGGGAGGAGGGAGCAAACTTGTTTTCTGCCAAAAAGTAAACTGATATATGCTTTAAATTTGCATTAGAAAGAAAGCAGGCATGGGAAGGATCTGAATGAAGAGTTCATTATTGCCTGTTCATGGTCCCAATCTATATCAAAGTTTTCTTATTTGCAGTTTACTTTCAAAAGCCAATCATACAATTAATAATTGTGTGAATTTTGGCTCTTTTGGTTTTGCCCTCAAATGCCCTACTTTGGGAGATATTTTTACTTCTAGATAGGCTACAAAAAGCTTTCTCGGGACCCTGCTCCAAATTCTTGCACTAAATGAACATATGGGTAATTAAATGGAAGAACATGTTGAAATGAAATTCCAGCTGGTGTCCTTAAAAGGATTTCCAACAAAATGCTGCCAAAAGAAATGTAGTAACCCCAGTTAGTTGTACATGGTATGTGGCATTCTAGGCTGCTACATAATAATATGAGAGAGGACAAGAATTAATTATTGATTTTCCACCACTTAACAAGCTGTTACATTGGCATCCAGTGACGGAGTCCCACATCTCATATCTGGGTAATCCAAAGGTTCTTTGACTGCTGTTGGCATGTGTAGTATAATTGCCAGGGTCTGAGCTGTTTTGAACCTAAAGTTTCTGGATACCATTGACTTGCACTGCTTTCTTACTGTGATGTGGAGAAGAACAGAACAAGCAGATGGTACTAGGAAAGTGGGGGCGGTAGTAGAAGCAGGCGCTCAGAAAGGAAAAATGGAAAAGAGAGTAGAACAAGTTGAAGAGTAGAAGACACAAAGGGCAATGAATGAAATGCTGGAAAAAGGGTGGAAAATGGATGATATGTTGGCCTTGCGCAGCGTTTCTCAACCTTGGGATCGGGATCCAAGGGAGGGTCACAAGGGGGTTGCAGAGGGGTCGCCAAAGACCATCAGAAAACATATATTTCTGTGTGCCAAGTTTGGTTCAGTTCCATCATTGGTGGAGTTCAGAATCCTCTAGATTAACTATAAATCCCAGCAATTCCAATTCACAAATTATAAAATGAATTTCCCTCCTCCAACCCCACCAGTATTCAAATTTGGGCGTATTGAGTATTTGTGCCAAATTTGGTCCAGTGAATGAAAATACATCCTGCATATCAGATGTTTACATTATGATTCATAACAGTAGCAAAATTACAGTTATGAAGTAACAACAAAAATAATTTTATGGTTGGGGATCACCACAACATGAGGAACTGTGTTAAGGAGTTCTGGCATTAGGAAGGTTGAGAAATACTGGCCTAGTTTTCCTGGTCAGTAGGATACATGATTAGATTCCTCTTCTCTTTTTCTTACATTTGATATCACGATATGGTCAGGAGCTACAGTGGTGAGGAAAGATAACAATCACATCATAATACCATGCCAGATCTTTAGCTGCAAACCTCTGATCCATAAAGCAAATGCTTGTGTGTGGAATGAGAGTGCATGATAAAGCTGTTAAAGGAGAGAGGGAAGAAAGAAAAGAAGGAAAAGCTCAGTCTTTTATTAACCATAGTTTTTCTTGTTGATGAGTCATTTGGCTTTTAATCAATTAGTCTGTCAGTTGTGCCTATTACCATGTTAGAAGTGCCATAATTCTTGTAACCGAAAAATCAAGAATGTCTCAAAGAAGGTGGTAGCCTTGGGGTGAGATAGTTTGAGTGACCCAAAGCATCCCCCCCTTCTTGTCCACCTGACTCTTCTGTGATGTGAATGGGTACTCTTATGAATATTTTTCTATCTGTCGTCTTCTCATCAGTCTTTTATCATATCTTTCTTAGAATGAAGCCATCTTAGATTAGCACCCTGAATAATTTATCTATTTTAGAATTGAGCTCCTATAAGAAAACCTTTAGCTTGTTTCTCCAAGCCATTGCTTTGTTCTTTAACCAGAGTCTCTAGCCACTGAACACACTTTCTATCATACAGGTGCTTGAGAATTAGGGTGCCACCTAATTCTAACTAAGATCTATAAATCAGAAGGTTCCTGTTAGTGGAAGGAAGAGTCCAACAGGATCTTAGATGAAGGCATCATGCAGGCAGGTCTTTGATCCAGAATCTAGAGCAGGATTTACAGCTGCTGAAGATTAGGAGGCTACGTTGCCTCCAAATGGCAACATAGGCCCCAGGGAGGGATACTTTTAACCTATAGGTAACACACTTCCCATCTTTGCTCCAAAGTGTAGAGCTATGATTGTCAATCCATTTTGCTGCCAGAAGTGGAGCTGTAAATCGTTCCAAGTCATTAAGGTCAGGAAGAATCCCATCATTTACTCATTTGAAAAGAGATACAGACATTCCAGCTCATGAACTTAGTTAGCATTTTATATGGTGTGTCTCAATATTCAAAACATTTGGATAGGCTCCATGTTGTATTTACAATCTTACAAGATAACAATATCTGCTTTTTAGGTTAAGGACTGGGGCTAAGAGAGATAGTAACTTGCCTAACACCATCTTACCTTTACCACAAAGTCAGTAATTTCATGACAAAGATCAGATTTAGACTGAGATCATGAAGTTCCAAAATTGCAGCTCAGCTTTTTCTGTCATTGTAATTCTTCATGCAATTCATTGCTGAATGTGCCCTTAGACTAAAATTGTATACAAGTTATTAAGGATTATATTTATTATATGTAATGGAACTCCCTGCTATGTAATTACATTTAGAATAGCAACTTCAGTACAAATGCAATTGAAAAAGAAAAAAAAAGAGTTTTCATGGAGAAGAATTTTGTTTATATATTTCCATTTCTGGTTTGACTGAACTCATGAAGCTTTTTCTTGCAGCTTACACCAATTATTTCAGATCCGGAGTATTTACTGGACCAACATATTCTGATCAGCATTAAGTCATCAGATAGTGATGAATCTTATGGTAAGCCTTTACCCTAAAGCTTATATATGACTCAAGCTCTACTTACATTTTTTTCACAATGCTTTGAGTGTGGGGGAGAACAACAGCAGAAAATTGCAAATTCCAGAGTGCTGTAGTGGTTTTTGTCCTATTATTGATGAGTACGATATAACCCCCATATCTGTAGGGTTGCTACCTGTGGTACTCTCTTTAGACCAGTCATCTTCAAACTGTGGCTCTTCAGCTGTTTGGGCCTCCAACTCCCAGAAGTCTTAGCTAGCTTGTTCAATGGTCAGGAATTTTAGAAGTTGGAGGCTCAAACAGCTGGAGGGCCATAGTTTCAGGATGCTTCCGGATATGATTCTTTGAACAAGGGGCATCCTCTCCACCATTATATCCATCCCCCATTCTCCCCAAAAAGACAAGTGTTTGATAAAAATACGTTGTGCAGAAAATATTTCTCAGGCTTGTAAATCACTGGTGAGTAAGATGAAGTGGGCTATATATAGTTAAAGGTAAAGGTTTTCCCCTGACATTAAGTCTAGTCGCGTCCGACTCTGGGGTGTGATGCTCATCTCCATTTCTAAGCCGAAGAGCCAGCATTGTCTGTAGACACCTCCAAGGTCGTGTGGCCAGAATGACTGCATAGAATGCCATTACCTTCCCGCCAGAGTGGTACCTATTGATCTACTCACATTTGCATGTTTTCGAACTGCTAGGTTGGCAGAAGCTGGGGCTGACAGCGGAAGCTTAGCCGCTCCCCGGATTCGAACCTGCGACCTTTCAGTCAACGAGTTTAGCAGCTCAGTGGTTTAACCCACTGCGCCACCAGTATCATATTAGATAATATAATACTGTTATCTGGGGACATGGTTGCCAGATAAAATACAAGATAACACTCTTATGCCTTCAATAGTCATGCTGTGACAAGCAATCCCTGCTGAAATACCCCTTTCTACATATCCATTAAAGATACAGGAGCCATGTCTTGTATTTTACCTGGCAGCCCTAAACTTAAGCTAATATTTTATTTTTGGCGTCGAAGAGTAGACAACTTGTAGTCCTTCAAATATTGTTGAACTCTCATAATTCTATATCTTTAGTTATGATTTCTAGTGCTGTGGAAATTGTAGTCCAACAACATCTGGAGGACCATATATTCTTCCCATCCATACCACCCCATGTAAATGCTATCCCATCAGGTACTACATTTTTGATAAGGGTATGGCCAAATATGTTTTGGTTTACATCTCTCACTAACCTCAGTTATCATAGTAAATTGTGGGTGTGCAGTGCAAAAATGTCTGGAAGGACAGTTTCCCACCACTGCATTAGGATATTGTGTTTCCTCTGTAGTGAAAGTAAATTTAATCCTTGTGTTCTTTGTGTCTAAGTGTGGTTTACATATCATTACTTTCTCTCTGTAGCTGATTTACAGAGCAGTTTCCAACATATTTAAATCAGAGCTCAGTGCTAAGCTGACTTTGGCATGAACCTTTTACTTGTTTTTTTAGAATGCTGTTTAGCACAATCTGGTATGGGGCTACTTTTTCATGTCAGGAGTGACTTGAGAAAATGCAAGTCGCTTCTGGTGCAAGAGAATTGGCCATCTGCAAGGACGTTGCCCAGGCGACACCCGGATATTTTGATTTTTTACCATCCTTGTGGGAGACTTCTCTCATGTCCCCATATGGGGAGCTGGAGCTGACAGAGAGAGCTCATCCACGCTCTCCCCAGATTCGAAACTCTGACCTATCAGTCCTGCCAGCACAAGTGTTTAACCCACTGCACCAGCAGGGGCTCCTATATGGGGCTACTGAAATAGTTAGTCTCTCCTTGGGGGGGAGATATATAGCAGGGATGAGAACAACGCAGCCTCCAGATGTTCTTTGACAGTAATTTCCATCTGCAGTAGCCAGTGGTAAGGTGTATTGTGAGTTGCTTTCTAACACACTCTGATGACACCATTCCAAACTTGGTATATGAGACTGCACTCATTCTTTTATTTCATTTCCATTCCACCTTTCTCCCAAAATGGGACACAATGTATTTATTTCCTTTGTGTCAAAACCAATTTCCTCCTCATTCTCTAGGTGAAGGCTGCATTGCCCTTCGAAGTGGAGCTACTGAATCCCAAGTGCCTATCCAAACTATATTAACACACCATGGTGAAATTACTGGCATCTTCCAAGGGGAATTTAAACTGCAAACATCCCAAGGGAAACAGAGAGAAAAACTATATGGTAAGGCAGTGACTCAACCTAAACCATAATCTTAGCTAAGAAGTGTTTTTAAGGGTGGTTCCAGGTAGACCATTCCTACTGCCAAAAACTGTTGTGAAGCTATACCTTCTTTTCCTCCTGAACCAATACATTCTGAATGTTTTGTTGTATGGTAAGGGTGGGGGAAGCGATGTCACACTAGATACTTCATTTGAGTGTATCATAAGTGGATAATTGGTTTTTGTAACAATTACAGTGGACCTGTTAATATAGGAAAGCACTCTCTCAATTTGCTGAGTTGAAGAGCTTGAATTCAGTTCAATTCTAGACTCTCTGTATGGTTGTCCTGGACAAGGGACAATGATAGTGATAGCAATGAATAGTGAATAGAATGCATTTTGATGTGTTTGAGTCAATGCATATATGATATACTTGACATAATATACGTGTGTGTACTTGACAGGAAGGGAAATAATCTGTCCTTTTTGGTGATGATACACACAAAGCCATAGAGAGGGTAGGGATGGAGATATTTTCAGGCAGCCTCCTTGCAGGGAGAATGTAATGTGTGAGCCCAAGTCACTGGGAAAATACTGAAGAAAAATCTTGGTAACAGTATGTAAGCATTTTGTGACTTCTAAAGTCAACAGGTATTATCTTCCTCCTCATATGGGAGCTATAATCAAGTGATGGGCTTCCTTTTCCTGCTTCCAGAAAATGAACGGAGAGAGGGAGCCCTCTGTCTAGTAATGAGTAACATAGACTACAGTGTTCTGCTACTTTTCTCTTTCAGTTTTAAAGCTGGAAAGAGGGTCTCCAGCACCTTAACAACCAGATCTGTTTAAAAATGGGTAGAGGATTCTGCATTTATTAGCATAGCGAACACCTGGCTGTATACCTCCTGAACAGCTGGTTCCTCCTGAACAAATAGTTCCCTTGTTGATTTGAGCCAGAGTTCTTGCTCCCACATCTTGGAGCTGCTCTTCCCACCCAACATTAATTGAGGCTGGTTTTACACTGACCATATAATGCAGTTTGAACTGCATGATATGGTTCTACACTGATCATATAATGCAGCTCAGTGCAGTTCAAACTGCATTATATGGTTAGTGTAAAACCAGGCTTTGTCAAACACCCAGTCTGCTTCAGCCATTCTATCTCTGAAGCCCATGAGAGATTCCTAGGGTGAAAAATGTATAACCTCACACAGCTTCACCATTTCTCTCAATCTTCCTCCTGTGGTAGCAGCACTGTTTCTGTGAGGTGCAAAGTCAACATGGATGAGAGAAACTGGCATAGGATCTCATCACAAAAGCATCACGGTGAAAAGAGTGAGGCAAGGCAGTGGGGCGAATCTGTCACCTGGCGTGCAGCTCCTGCTCAGTGATGCTTTCTCCATAAGATGTGGGAAGTGTCGCCATTCTGCAGAGGACCCATACTGATTCCATTGGAGCAAGCACGAAACAGGCAGGCTCCCATGTTGAGGGCGAAGCATCTGACAAGGTTTCCATCACAGTTGGGGGCAGGGACTCTGCTGGAAGTCACATGACATTGAGTGATGTCCAGCATGGGTCTCCATCCCCAAGACAGAATGAAAGCATCATAGGATGCCAAATTTACCCTGTCCAATGTGGCCCATAGAAAGGAGTAACTGTAGATTAGCCTAAACTGTAATCCCTAAAACAAACAAGTCAGGGTTTCTATTTCTCTTTCTGCAGTACAGTTTAAGCAGATACAGTGGTTGCTGTGGGCCTGAATTATAACATATTGTTTCCCTGGTGAATTAAGTTAATAAATGAGAATTAAAATCACCAACCTTGACACTGAGAACTGATATTCAGAAATATATAATCTGAAAATTGTACACCTGTAACCTAATTTTATGTTTGTTTCCTTCAGATTTTGTAAAGATTGAACGGGATGAGACTTCTGGACAAAAAATAGCGAAGGGCTGTGTAGACTGTATCACAGAGTGGGAACAGACGAATAGGTAGGTTTCAAGAGGCTAATTGCATGAGTTTAAAAGTGATTGACATGTTGACTGATGACATGCCCGCAGGCAGATCTGGATTTGCAAGCAGAAGTGTGTAGTGCAAACAAACAAGTTGTTTCCACACAGCTCTTCCTAGCAAACAAAAAATATAAATTGAACATGTTAAGAACTTTCTCTTAGTAAAATAATGGAAAGTAGAGAAACAGCTGCTTTGAGAAACAAGGAACTATGTTAATAGTATTGAGTCCCCACAGGGAAAATGATAGGGTATAAATAAAGATGATGATGATGATTGAAAAAATAGGCACAAATTTTAGCACTCACTAACCTGCCTTTTTCTGAAAGGGCTGCTTTGTCCAACAGAAAATCTACTCACTTAGTGGCCAAAGAAGCAGCAGCTATTGCTCGTTTTCGAGGAACTCCAGCAGTGTCTTTAGATGAGCCATGCAAAGAAGAACTCTTACGGTAATGTCGTAATTTCATATTAGAGGAAGTATACATTAACTGATCTTGCTCTCCAATCAGGAACATTCATTTATAGTGTATCTTTTTTTCTGATTGGGGAAGGTGGAAGGTTTCCAGGACAACTGTAGTATGCAGGAAGTGAGGTCAACCCTTTCCTCTGTAGCTGTAACTCTAGCTGAAAATCTCTGTCCTTGTGGTGCATTTAGTACATGTTCTAAAGTAGGTTCCTATTATGATTTATATCGAACACCCTGAGAAACGCTCCAGGTTTAATGACGGTATTCTCCCAGGAGATAAAGACAAAGGGTGGGAGTTTTTGCTGGTGCAATAGAGGTCAGTAGATGTTGATAGCCAGCAAAAAGGAAGTTTGCTTTTACTAGCTTGGGAAGGTCTGGAGCTCAGGTTGGTTGCCAATGGATCACATCCAGCACTTCCCATGCGTTTTGGTTTTATAGGCAACTTTTAGCTTCTCCACCATCTTGGAAAATACAAGTTTGCAGATCATTTTGCACAAGGAAAGAAATTTAATATGAAAAATATTAACAGTCTTGTTTATTGAAGCATTGAAATTGTAAAAATATTTACCTTGGTAGATTTTTTTGTTATTGCATTGTCTGGAATTGCAGTCCAAAATTTCCATAATATCAGAAGTAGCCCATTTCCTTAAACTAGGCATATCATCTAGAATCTGAATTAGCTCATTTCTATGATAATTTCATTACTGTGAACATTATTTATGTTTTTCCTCCATTACCCTTTTCAGCAGTACAGTGGTCACAGATATCAACAATCCCAGCTATATACGGGTTCCCTCTGCCTCTCAATCATTCTCTGCAACAGGTCAGCTTAAACAGATTCCTTCACCAGACCAAGTACCTGCCTTCTGGAGTTATGATCCACAATCAAAAGACAGCTCTTCGCTGACAACTCTAGAGTCTCCCACCACACCGTCCAATCTGTCACCAGGGTCTCCAAAAGTACCCACTCAACCTACAACCAAACGAAAAGATCAGCTGTGAGTTTTCTGGTTACAGATGCTCTAGTTTAATCATATTTCCTTTGCACTTTAGTAGACTAATTCACTAAAGTGGCAATCACTTTTAAATTACAGCCAAAATGGCAAATTGTGTCCTTTCAAATGTTATTTAACTGCAACTAACTTTAGCTTCATACAACAGTTACACATGATGATGGGTGTTATAGGCCAACAACATCTGGAGGAACACAAGCTGTTCACCCCTGAACTACAGAAGCGAAAAAGAGAGACAAGATTATTTTTATATGTCATGAAGATACAATGCTTCTTCAACAAGTAGTAAACATTTGACATGTGGTAGAAGGTAGTGATTTCTTGTGGTCCTTCAGATATTTATGGCCTACATCTCCCATCATTCTCAGTCAGCATAGGCAATGGTAAGAGAGCTGGAGTGCAAAAATGCCGAGCCAAAGCTGTGCTCACTTATGTTAGATTATACTGCTTCCTCTGCGGGGAGAAAGAAATTAATTTTTGTTCTGTTGGTGTTTGCAGTGTGATCCATAGTTGTGTGGAACAACAATAATCAGGAAATTGTTTATTTATTTAAATATTTCTTTGATCTTTATTGTTCCTTACGCCTATAGCTCAGAGTAGCTTCCAAAATATTTAAATAATATGTAATTGCTAAGTTTAAAATTCCATTAATATTTCCACTTTCTTTTTGTATATAATACTTCCTTTTGGAGTATTATATAAACTGCTCTTTTATGTGGCTACTGAAAAGTAAGTGCTAGAGAAGTATAAATGTAGCAGGGATGGTCTACAGATACTACCAAACTGAATTTTCCACCAACTTTAGCCTGCATAGCCAGTCATAAAGTGCTATGATTTGCAGTCCAACACCATCAGAAACCCCACCTAATTCATGCAATGCAATATTTCTGTCACTCTGAAGTACACAGATAGTATATAGAGTTTTAACAAATTAGGTCCATTCTAGATGTTAAAGCCAGTTGGCCGAGACTTTTATTTATGTACTTTATTTATACACCAAATTCACTCTACCTATTGGTTTACGCTGAACTCAATTTTCCTTTGGCTATTCTTCCCCAACTCATTCCAGATATGCTGAGGTGAGAAAAAGCATGACAGAACCCTTGCTACTCGAGGAAGCATTCCCAAAGCCAGGAATGATTGACAACCCACTTTATGACTTTGGAAAATCCAAGGATAAGCTACAGTCTAAGAAGGAACAGGAAATCTTCAAGGCGATACGAAAAGAACTCCCAATTCTTTCTGAACAGAGCTTTCCTTTCACCAACTTACAGGAGGGTGATGCCATCAAATCTTCTGTCAAGCAACAATCTTCTCTGCCTTTCCCAGCCCCTGCACCCAGATTTCGGTCATATACATGTTCCAACCAATTTGAAGAAAAGACTGCAATTATTCAAAAGACTCAGAACAGGCAGGGACCCTGTGCCAGTTCAGAATCTGCGGTAACAACATTCAAGAAACCTGTCAAATTTTCAAGATCTGAAATGGGGCAAAGTAAGCCTCCTCTTCCATCAAAAAGCCAGTTAGTACTTGACATGCAGAACATCAAAGGGCGTGATTATCGAGAGAGTTCAGAACTTCCACACAATAGAAAGCACCAAAGTGAAGATGGGGCTATCAGCAGGACAATGGTGCCGGTAGGTTTAAGATAGAAACAAGATCTGACTTGTTGCATTTACCTTATATATTCCTGTATAAGCCTAATAATTCACTCAAAAATCAGCCCAAAAAGTGAGTCAGTTCATCCATGGAGACCAGTATGTATACTGTAGCTTAATCTTTATTGAATAAAACCCCATCCCCTTCTCTGAACAGAGTGACAAAAGGCAAGAGCTTAGTCTGTTCCAGAAGAAACTAAAAGAAACACGGATCCCCTCTACTTTCTTGGCCATGATGGCGCCTCTGGCTTTTTCAAATGTCTGGGCAAGAAAATGGCAGCAACAACCAGCAATGGCTGGCTCCCTCAGGCAGCACTGGAGTTTCCCCCCTCTGTGGAATGACCTTTGACTTATCCAGTTATCCACAGGTCACGTCACACATTTTCTTCAGGTTGTATTTTGCCACATAGATTTCCTATTCTTCTTTAGCTTTACTCTTATTTTTGGCATTAACGGTTCATGATCTGTTCCGCAGCCTGCTCCTGATCTTGTTTTTGCAGAGAGAATGGAGCTTTATCATATTATTCTTCCAGTTACATTGCCTGGTTTCTATATTGGCTATTGGTTACCTTTTTGATCACCCAAATAATGTTTTTGCAATAAACAAACTTTCACGTCACAAAATCCAATCAGCTGCTCTTCTAGATCATTTCTTGATCCTTGGTCAATTTCTCTTGCAATTTTTGATCATGCTTCATTTCCTGCTTTTGCATTCTATTCACCTACAATTACCAACGTATCTTCTTTTTTTTTTTTAAAGGGAGGTGGTGGGTGAACTATTTTTCTCTGATTGCAACATAGGGTCTTTTTGTTTCTTCCTTTTCCACCTCTGTAGTTGTAGCATGAACTTAGATTATGGGCATATGGATGGGATTTCCATAAAATATTTTTGATATTATTTGGTCAGATTTTACATTAAATGTCTTAATTGATTTTGCTACATTCTCCTCACTATTGTCACCCAATTTCTTCATAGGTTAGATTAATTCTTACATTAGATGAGTCCCACCATGGCACTATTTCCTTTTTACACATGGTGACGAAATTGCATGTTCCTGTGATGCAAAATACTATGTTGACAGTAGCAGAGCTATTGGAAGGGTATCCTGTGTCAGGCAGGAGCCAGACTAAGTGGGCTTGGTGACAGAACTGTTTTCCCTGTGTCCGTTATTAAGTGAATAAACTGAAGTGACTGCATTCTTTTTCTTTTTACAGTGAATAGGAACATCACAGATGATGATATCCTTGGAAGAGTCCTGGAGGGAATCAGCATAGACATTTCCCAGAGTTTATGTTAATACCATCTGGTTTGCTGCGCAAAATCATGAATGCTACCGTGTTTATCAATATATGTATTTCCTGAAATTAACACAAAACTAATATAGACTGAAATCAACTAAACATCAGAAACCAAATTCTTACCCTGCAATTTTAGTAGGGTTTTATTTTATTTTTTTAAAGGAGGTTGAAAATATTTTTGGTACAAATGGTGGGAATTCCAGAAAATGATCCAACTTCATAGTATCCATTTACTCAGCAGAGAAGTAAGAAGGGAAAATAAAGAATGTACAACTCATATTTCAACAACAACAACAACAATAATGCACTTTATTTAATGTATTGTCGAAGGCTTCCATGGCTGGAATCACTGTGTAGGTTTTTCGGGCTATATGGCCATGTTCTAGAATTCTCTCCTAACATTTTGCCTGCATCTATGGCAGGTATCCTCACAACCTCTGAGGATGCCTACCATAGATGCAGGTGAAACGTCAGGAGAGAATGCTTCTAGAACATGGCCATATAGCTCGAAAAACCTACAACAACCCACTTTATTTAAGTTCCGCTTTATCTCCCTGGAGAGACTCAGAGCAAATTACAGTACATATAAGACAAACATTCAATGCCTTTTTACACAAACAACAACATACAATACACAGATAAGGTTAAAGTATTCCCTTTTTTCCATTTCCGGCATCTGGAGGTGATGCTCAACTTCAAAATTGAGACGTGCATTACATTCAATGGCACATTGTACTCAAGTAAGTACAGTAATTATGTAAATCTCAGATTGATAACATGAAGTGGAATCAGTCCCAGGTACTTCTAAGGGTTAGATGAAGTTGATTATCTCATCTGAAGTTCTGTGTGAAGGACTTTGTTTATCATCTTCAGGTACAAGTATGAAGCAAATAAAAATGATCACTAAAAGTTAGTCAGACTTTTTTTAACTTATATTTTGTTTCTAAAGCAAAATATCTTATAGCAGAGATGACCAAAGAGAATTTTTTCAAACAATGTTGTACTGCAACTCTCAGTATTCCTCATCATTGGCCATGTTGATTAGGACTGATGAGAGTTGCAGTCTCCCTTTGTCTTACAGGTTGTTTTAGTAGAATTTGTAATAGACTTGTGTTAGCTTCATTTGAGGTTTAATTTTCATTTGATTTATTTTGTGTTAATTTGTGATTTTTATCCTCAGTTTTGCTATAGAATTGTACTATTTATAATGCCACCTTTGCTGCTTTCCCATGTTGCTGAAATTTTAAATAGCATTAATTCCTTAAAATTAAATAAAACTAATTATAATAAGTTGTCTGCCTTGAGTTATTAGTTCATGCAGACTTTACACTGGTGTCCCTCTTTGTCATCTTTCCATCTCATGATTCTGTAGCTCAAAACAGCATGATGAAATATAACGTTTTCCTTGTCTAGTTAAGATCCTTTACTGATCTGGGAAATATCTGTAAGTTGTCTATGTGACCTAAATACCCTTAGGGGTAACAAATCTCACCTAAACTTTGGCTAAGCAGGGTCTGCACTTTAGTACTTGGATAGCAGACTGCCAATTAATACATTTGTAAGCTAATGTTGTAAACCATAGACAGAGGGACTGGCAAAACCCCTTTTGAGTATTCTTTTCCTACAGGGCCGTAGCCAAAAAAAAATTCAGGGGGGGTTCAATAGCCTGCAGCTTCGCCCCTGTCAACCACCTCCACCAAGTCTGGCCTCCTTAATGAGAGCATTCAACACCCCCCCCAACTTGGTTGCTTCGCTACATCGGCTATTGCTGCAAGTAATGACAGTGTGAATAAATTGTCAATATTTGTTTGAGATAGTTCTTGCAGTTCTGGAGGGATTCATGATTTTTTGTGTCTCATAGACTTAGCATGGGGATGTGGTTAACCAGTTAAAATTCATGAGTAAAGCAGGTTTTGTTTTTAACCTGAAAAATTTCGGGGGGGGGGGGTTGAACCCCTAACACACACACACACACACACGGCTACAGGCCTGCTTACCTAAGAAAATCCTATGAAATTCATGGGCTCCCCATAAGTCAATAGTGACTTTAAAACACATACACATACATGCAAGCTGTCTGTAACCTTTGAAAAAGAAATAATCACGCTTTTCAACTCTACAAGCAGAGGAAAAGGGAAGTGGAGCTGGATAATTCCTCGGGTTTAACTGCTGTGAAATTTTTAAAAAATTGCAAGTTTAAATTAAATTGATTATAAGGAGACTTAGGGAAAATGCTAAAAGAATCTGTACCACACATGGTGCACATTTAAATTATAAAATTCTTCACCAGAAGAAGTAGTGATGGCTGTCAACTTGAACAGTCTTTAAAGAGGATTAGAAAACTGGTACAGGATAAAGCTATCAATCATTACTACTCAGAATGGCTTTCTGTTATCTTTAGTATCCGAAGCAACATGCCATTGCATAGCAGTTGTTCAGGTGCATGAGCAGGAAGGTACTAATATGCTCATGTCCTTCTTGTGAACTTCTCACCTGCATCAGGGTGGCCACTAAGGGAACAAAATTCAGGACCAGATGGGCTTGTGGTCTAATCCAACAGGGCTCTACCTATATTTGACTTGAAAGCTCATTACCAGCAAAATAATTATCACAAAGGACTACTAAAAATGGTTGAATTTTTAAAAAATGATTTGATCTGAAGAAGATACAACAAACTGAAGTTTTTCAAAGAGCTGCTTTTCTATCTAAAATAAATAAATACAATTGTAGTTCATGCTATATCCCTCATTTTTCCTGAGCCAAGGACTGGTTCCCCATAGCTGGGAAAAGATCCCAATTTAGAGCACATAAGTGCTGCTGTTTTCCTGCTGGATTGGTCTCCTCCAACTGAGAGCAGATTCCCTTCCAAGGGACATGTATGCTGTTTTTGCCCCACAGCCCATTTCTTCCAGTCATTTCCCTATTAAATTACTGTGAGTGCTCAAAAGCAGCTTGTTTCCCACAGATACGTTTCCCAACTTTAGCTCAGTTCTTAAAATAGCTGTGTTCTTTCACTGTGCTAAATTTCCATGGAGATCCAGCTGTCAGGAATGCTTGATGATTTTCAGCTCCAGTTCATAACATGCAGAAAGCAGTGACAAATGAAAGGCATGATTGTTTATACAGAGATGTGCATGCAGCCATGTGTGTGAACCTGCATGTGCATACACACTTGCATCAAAGATCTGCTCATTTTTATTAACATGGTTCTGTCATGTAAGATCTGCCTCACTCCCATATGATATTATAGTCATGTTTACTTGATCTGTGAAAAGAATGAATTGAGAACTGAGGGCCCTTCCAGACAGGCCCTATATCCCAGGATCTGATCCCAGGTTTTCTGCTGTAAACTGGATTATATGAGTCTGCACTGCCAGATAATTTAGGATAAACAGAAAACCTGGGATCAGATCGTGGGATATAGGGCCTGTCTAGAACGGCCCAAAGTTTGGAAATGTTACCTTTGTGGGATACAATTCCCAGAATCTCCTATCCAACATAGTCACAAACTAAATTGGCTGAGGGGATGTGGCAGTTACATTCTCTCCAAAAGTAATATTTCCAGGCTCTGGAACTGAGTAAACCCATTGTAATGAAAATCCCACCAAAAGAGCTGCTACCCACATGTCTGATTGAATGCTGTGTTTAATGCAGAGCTAGCAATACAGGAAGAATTGGGGGACAAATCAGATAGTTTCTTCCTGTTGGAAAAGCAGCATTGCTTAGCACAGTGGTAGACAGTAGCAATAGGGTTAGAAAGTTGGGTGACCTGAAAAGTTATCCCTTCTTTATGCAAATTATTCTGCTTTCCCTGTGGCATAGACTGATCTTCTTAGGGCTTTCCCCACCTCGTCTTCGGCCCATAATCCCAACATGTAGGCAGGCTTAGACTTGCTCCCCAACTAAATTTCCTATCTAGAATGGAGTTGCTACAACAAGGCTTTCTTTTATTTCCTAAAGCTTCGGTGTTGATGCTCCTTAAATCCCAATCTCCTGCCACAGCTGCAAAACATGCACTCAGACTAATACTCCCTAATATAAGAGTGCACTTATTCTAGAAATCCTGTTATGTGGACTGAAAAAAAGCTGCAGTTATCACTGGAAGGAGAGAACTAGCTAGCAGCCAAAAACATCCCGTCTAGCTGGGCTGCAGAGATCAGAAATATAGAAATAGCACTTCTAACTCTATTTCTAGCAGAACAGATGCCAAGGTAGGCGAATTGTGTTGTGCAGGTTCTGAAGTTGTGGAAACTCCTTGCTGTTCTGCCCACTCAAGAGAAGACCACATTTTCTACCTGACCACAATTTGCGTTCCAGAGAGAGATCCCCTCCCACTCAGTTTTTCCGTCTTTGAATGCTGGTGCTCCCCTGAGTCAGATCTCAGATTTGACAGAACAGTTGTAAAGCATGGAAGTGGGCTGGTAGCACAGAAAGTTTGAATCAAGGTAGATGTGGGTTTTTCATGTAGTAACAATTGTTTCATAGTGATAATTGTGTATGCAAACCTAGCTGTAGATTATCCATGGAAGAAAACTAAATATCAGCTGAATAAACTTATGTTTATAGGTGTGAGTTTATCAGTATGCAATTCATATGTATGTTTATTTATAGATTTTTTTAAAAAAATAGAATCATAGAATCATTTTGGAAGAGACCTCGTGGGCCATCCAGTCCAATCCCCTGCCAAGAAGCAGGATTGGTCTTCTTAATTTACCTGCTCTGTTTTTGGGAGAATCTGTCAATCTGCTAGAGTGCAGTTTTATTTCTGGTTATCGTCCCCATCTGATTTGTGGGCAAAAAGGAGGGGAGATGAAAAAGTCCCATATAAAACACATTAATAGAGCCAGGTTGCTCAGTGTTGATGGGGAAAATGTTGCCTTCTCTGCAAAGAATAATTTCACTTACTTCCCATTAAGTGCTGCTCCATATTACTATTAAATTCCCAATAGGTTGTTGTTGTTGTTGTTGTTGTATTCGTATCCCATTTCCTCTCTAATGAGACTCAAAGTAGCTCGCAATGAATACTCAAATCATGTTTAGTCAGTTCTTATTTGAGAATGTAAGTTAAATTACCATAATGTTTTGCACAAAAGGGGCAAGGGGGGGGGGGCAGTGATTCGAACCACTGACCTGTCAGTCAGCAACCCTGCCAACACAAGGGTTTAACCCACTGCATCACCGGATTTATATTTATACCATATATTTTTATCAAGTGGGTAAAAATATAAATCAATGTGTTAAATTGTATTCAGGTTCCACTTATCATTACTAACAGGCCACATTAGGACTACTGTGTCCATAAGAATGCTATAGACAAACTGGAACATGTTCATAAGAAGATAAAAGATCAGTGGTATGGGAATTACGTCACGTGAAGAATGGTTGAAGAAACTGGGTATATTTAGCTGGA